GAGAGAGAGAGAGAGAGAGAGAGAGAGAGAGAGAGAGAGAGAGAGAGAAAGCGCACACTGTTCAAAAGAGAAATACAGAAAAACTAAATACCCAAGCAGCGTACCGAACAACGACCGCAACCGAATGGAAAACAATACAAAGTGTAGCAGAATATGAAAAATAAAGAAGCAGAAAAAAGCACACACAGAATAGCATCGTTTGCGCGGAGCCGCAATCTCTATCCGTTACTATGAATACACGAAGAGAAAAAAGAAACGGGCTTCGAGCCCGAATGAGAGAAAGAGCGAAACGAAACCTGTGCTAGCTCATAGGTCGTGCGGCATATAAAAACCATTCGACATAACGATAGTCGCAACATTAGCTATAGCTCCTTTGCACGTGAAAGTGGTTAAGGACACCTAACATACACAGCAACTCAAGTGTTACGCTCTAACCAAGATTGTTAGATTGTTTTATATACGTTACAAATTGAATTTGTGCATACAAAAATTCCGTTGAATATATCATATTTTCGTTTAAACGTTTGTAGCTTAATCTTTGAACTTTTCTTTATTGGCATAGTGTCATTTTAATTGATTCCATATATTCGTGTGTGTTGAGCATAAAAATCGAAGCAAAATGAAGGTTCAAGTACCAACATCCAGTCATTTACCGAACATTTGCGTGGTCGATCCTTTGCGAAATCGACAAAATGCCGACGTACAAACCAGAATCAAAGAAGTATGTGCATCAAATCTGACTAAATACAGACATTGATAAATAAAATCAATAATTCCAATCGTATCAGTGGTTTGCTCAAAATTTGTCGATTCAAATCATTTTCAAAAAGATGTGTCAATGCAATGAGCAGCGTCCATTTGTTTTGATTCATATATGTACTCATCATTTTCTTTTGTTCTTTTCTATTTTGCGCATATTTTCCAGCTTACAATTTCCGACCAACCAATTGAGAAAATGTCAAACGCAATCGAGCCAAAGGATGTGGACAACACCAAACAGAAGCAACCGGAACAAATTCGAGTTGAAGTTGTTCAGGAAAAAGATACTGAAGAAATTCTCAACATGCTTAAAGCCTACTTTTTCAAGGTAAGTAGATTGGCCATTTTTATGCGAACACATAAACTCTGTCGAAATAAGAACTCAACTGATAATTAAGGTAGTTTTTTTGTATGGTACAAAACAAGGTTTTCTTTTTCGAAACGTTCAATCGTGTTGAGAACAACGTAAAAGAATAGAAGAAATGAAACAACAATGATTTCTCTTCAATAGGATGAGCCAATGAATAATTATCTTAATATGGGTGATTGTGTGGAGTTAGAGAAGTACGCAACAAAAAGTATTGGCGAACAATGTTCCTTTAAAGCGCTCAATTCACGTGGTGAAATTATTGGTGTGGCCATGAACAGCATTGTAAAAAAACCGGTAATTTTCTGTTCTTTTAAATCAATTAAAATGTCATTTGGGTAAATCAAATTTGAAACATTTATATACGCACACCGCAGCACAAAATATATAAAACGCAAATCGAATCGTTGACCGTTTTTTTTTTTAAATTTGAAATTGCAGAAGCCGGATCAACCATTTCACAGTTATGCAGCCGATTGTAATCATCCGCAGTTTAAGAAAATTCTTACGCTTATGGAATACATTGATCATCAGTACAGTACATTTAATCTGTATCCAGATATAGATAAATTTTTAGATGCAACCATTTTATCGGTGGATGCCAACTACCGGGGCTACGGTGTGGCTGGTAAATTAATGGAGGCAACCATGCAATATATGCGAGATAATAAAATTACCGTGTTTCAAGTGCTATGCTCAAGCTATTTTTCGGCACGTGTTTGTGAGAAGATGGGCTTTAAAAAAGTCTACGTACTACCATTTGTTGATTATAAAGTTGATGGCGTCAATCCAATTCTGCCAGCCGAACCGCACAAAGCCATTCAGATTTTGGTTAAAGAGATTCATTAGCGTGAATCGGTGTAATTGGTGTCTTACCAAACATGTATTGGAAATAATTGTATCTTTTCAGTTGTAGACCAAGAGATTTCAATCCACCATCCACCTTAGCAACAGCAGATGAAGAAAAAATAACACAAATCGATCATAATTCAATACACAAACTCTTGTTCATCTGTTGATCAGTAGAATTAGATCATGACATTGAATTTTTTGATCCACTTCATGTGCTATACATTACGTCTATCGGTGAGACGTAAAAGAATGTATTTCTTTTCTAAATTTATATTTTTGAAACGGAGAGTATGTTTTCTGTTGATTCTATCTGCGTTAAACGAAAGTATGTTGGTATACCGTCTAGCCTCCGCGGTTTTTCACGGTTTCCGCGGAACTGATAAACGATAAAAACATGGTGTAAGATAACAACATGGATAAGAAATAAGAGATAACTGTCTTGAGCAATGTTATAGAAGACCTCAAGTACTACAACTTTGTCGAAAACACTATGTTGTTATCTCTTATCAGTTCCGCGAAAACCGAGCAAAATCGCGAGTACCCGCCAAAAACGGACATACATTCTTCTAACCATTATTAGTTACAATGAAACATAATTCTCTTTATTGCTATGCAGTTGGACAAACTTGCGTTCTTTTACGTCTCACTTATAGACATATATATTATTTTTTACGCTTAATAAACCAGAAGAATTTTTTCTCGTTGTGTTTTTTTGTTTACCCAAACGAAATCACGTTTCAAATGATTACCAACCATAGCCTGGAATCCAATGACAATTGGGCAATCACTTTGACATTTCCTCGATTAAAATCGAATGTTTTCATCAAAAGAGCCGGTTTTATGCAAATGTCTTTACATAAATGCAAACGTCACGTAAAATCGGATCTTTTCATGCAACGACTCGTTCAATAGTTACGCTGGCCACCGCATTTTCTAGCAGCACAATCGCTGTTGCCAGTCAGTGCCATGATTTATTACCAACCAAGTCATTTGTGATTGATTTACATAAAATGTGTTCAACAATGTGTTGTGTTATATATGTTCAACAAATGATAATTTATGTTTTATGGCCAGTGCCATAAATCAATTTGCCATGCAATTAGGAAGGTACAAGCCGATTGAAAATAATAACAGGCAAATGATATCATCGTTTCAGGCGGAAAAAATCGCATTTTTTCTCTCTTTTTTTCTTCATTTTAATTCAGATTAACTGTCTTGTTTTTATTGATTTTCAAGCTTTAACGAAAACTTGTATCGATTGAAAGAACGATTCCAGAGATGCAGATAAATTGCTAACTCAACAATTGAGTTGAACAACATTTCCCTAATCACATCGAGCTTATTACCTCAATGGTGATATTTAAATCATGAATTGATTCTTATTGATTAATATTCTAAAAGAAATAAAAAGAAATATGATTTTATGACACCCCGACCGAACTCATCGCACGAACCTTGCTCCCATATATACTACTTAGTTATAGTTTGAGCACAAAAATAGAGTTCAAAGCAGAAGAAGAAAAAATGTAAGATTTTCTAAAACGTAATTTGGTCTTATGTGTTATTTTGAAAGAAAGAGAAACGTGAGGAAGAAGTGTAAAATAATCGAATGCTATTTTTGAAATGATTTGATAAAAATGATACGTTTTGCGGTTACTTCCATTTCATTTTAACATTTCCATTGTCATCGATGGAACTAAAATTGATCAACTATTTATTGGGTTCCCGCCTATGATACTTTCTGATTATTGGTCATTTTAATTGAAGCCTTTGGTTGAAGGGAATAACACATTTAACAAAGTTTGGATAGAATATTTGCATTGGATGAAAGCTCAATAAAAACATGTACATTGTTCCTCGTTAAAAATAAAAATAAATGTAAACAAACTTGTGAGAAATATTATCATACATTCTTTTATTCTGGTGGTGGTGGACAGACGAATCGCAAAATCATCAGTTTATCCAAAGGTATATCTTATATAACTATTATTTTAGAAAAACAAACGCTAAATCTAATAAATTGAACAATGATCGATTGAACTGCTGAAAATATTCGTTGGACGTGGAGTTTCTTTCGTACAACTTTTTTCAAGTTCTACATTTAACTGCACATCGAAACACGTCCAACAAATATCCACAGCAGTTCAGCTGTTGAACGATCCTTACTAGGATGAGGCAGTTTGAGAATAATTATTTTCTATTACTAACAATAGTCAACAATGGATCTTCTTCTTCAATTTCTGGCATGACCTTGACAAAACGAGGACCATGAATCCCACGACGATGCGCCTCATATGCGATTCTTCTTCTTTCATCTGCAAAGTCTCTAATTATACGATTTTTCGTAGATAATCTGAAATAGATGACACTTGGATTAAAACATTTTCAAAAGACGTCCTTAATTTGGTTTTCTGAAATCAACAACCATTCTTAATACCGGAATGACTTTTTAATTCATTATCAAAATGCTTACAAGTATAAGATGTTCAGTGACTGTAGAAATATTGCTAAATTGCGCTGCGTTAGCCTCCATGGCTTCGAACGTTCGTTCGTTCGACAATTTAAAAAAATATTTTTTTGTTCGTTCGTTTGTTCGACATTCATTTTGTTCGATGTTCGGTCCGAACAAAGTTTTTTTCATTTCAAAATCTCCCGAATAAAATTGGTATTACTACGAAAAATTATAATAAAAGCTAATAAAAGCATGAGCTGTAACGATTACATTATAAATTTGATCAATACATCGAATTTTCCAATGTAAAAAATTTTTGTTCGGACCGAACATCGAACAAAATTAATGTCGAACGAACGAACGAACAAAACCTTTTTTTAAAACCATGTCGAACGAACGAACAAGCGTTCGAAAGTGTTCGACGGCCAACACTACTGGGTAACTCTACACTTACTCCCTCGTTTTCCCTCCCTCAGAAAAATAAATAAAGGATATATAACTTTTTCTGAGGAGAAAAAAATTGAAAATAAGTATGTCGAGACATACTCGAATGAGTAGGAAAAAGAGAAGGAAAATGAGTAGGTCGAGACATACTCAAAATCAAAGTGTAATTACTCTGAGTATATTCTCTCTTACTCAAAGAGTAACTAATGAGTATGAGAGTAGGTCGAGACTTACTCATTTTCCGTTTGTATCTAAGTAGGAGTAGGAGTATGAAATTATACTCTCTTACTCCGCCCACCTGTAATACAATCAAGTAAACTCTCCGTTCTGTCAAACGTCATACTGAAGTATAACATACAGACATCACGAACTCGCCATCGGTTCTTTAGATGGCGCTTCGGTCAAGCGAGTTCCAACCAAATACATGTATCAGTATACGAAGCATTCCACTGTTGATGTATCATGGATACTAACATATACCGTTTCTAACCAGGATATTGGTTATAGATATGCGCTCATCGTAGCAAATGTAAGCTAGCAAACCGCTGTATAGCAATAATTTTGCAGTCTCTGAATAAGACCGGAAAAAAAAACTCTTCTCACGAATAGACGATGTAAACGGTGAAAAAGTTCATTAGAACAAAAGATACGAGAAAGCCATACACTCGTCTTTTATTGAATGATGGTGTCCAGAAGTTGTCGCTTCCTCCGAAATTCCGATAATATCCGCTAAAAATTGATGATGATTTTTGTGAATTTCCTTAATTTATAATGCATTGTTGATGAACATATTTTGAAATTATCCTACGCTTGCCGCATATTATGCATGTGTTGTTGGTAACTGGCAAAATCTCCCTCATAAAATCGTTGTTCTCGTCTGTTGTACGTTGCGTAATACGGATTATGATACGGATGATGATACGGATGGTTTGGGTACTGTGATATGGATATTTCAGCATCGTATGCTTCCCTTGATGACTTTTTATTCAAAACTTTGTATGCTTCCATTATTTCTTGGAATTTGCGCGAGTTTTGATTGGCATTACCTACTTTACTTGTGTCTGGATGGTGCTAAAACGAACGAACAATCACTTGATACTTTCTCTCTTTGAATGTGATGATGACAACATTTACCTTTTTTGAGAGTTCTGCAAACGATTGCCGAATTTCTTCTTTTGTGCAGTCTCGCTTCAAGTTTAACACATCGTAATGTGTCCTTTTGGTGCAGTATAAACGTCTGCATTGTGCCAAAATTCGTGCATCGGTTAAACTATTTCAAAAGAAAAAAAAATATTATAGAATATCACTTCAGTTTTGATTAAAAATAAGGCAATTTACAATTTAGATGCATGCCGTTCAAGCATTGAATGGGTGATATAAAAAACTTCCATGCGCAATTTTTGCCCAAGTTAACTGCCGGAGTTTTGATTTAGAAAAGAAAAAAAATATAAAAATAAATAGATTGATTTGATCTAATCTCGAAAATAAACTTAGTTTCTATTGCGATGTTATTCGTCTGTCAAAAACATCTGATTATCGCATCAACGTCAACAGTAATGAAGTTAGCCACATGTCCACGTTACGCGAACCATTCAAATAGAAACAACATTTTTTTCTGTCTTTATCAATGGACCATTTTTTATTATAAAAATAATCTCAAAGTATTCAATCGAAAACCAAATTAGAAGAAATTAGCAAATGCAATGTGAATGAATGATCTTAAATAAAAAATCTATTTTTGATTATTATTTTTTAAAAATTCATAGACATATGAAAAGTCTTTATCTCCTAAGCCACGGCACATGAGCGTTCGATAAATTTGATGTGCGATTGCACCCATTGGAATCGGTGAATTTGATGCTGTGGCCACACCAGATGCTAAGCCCAAATCCTGGAAAATGAAAGAAAAAAAAAGAGGAACAAATCAGATAATTGTGATTGAGAAAACGGTGAAATTAAATCAAATAAGAAGGATGAAACCGTTGTAATAGTTAAATGAGTTGATTAGATTTCTAACATACTTTAGTGATCAATGCGGTCGAAAATCCACCTTTGTAGTCATTATTCGCTGGGGCATTGGCGCACAAGCCAGGAACTGGATTGTAAATTTCCGATGACCAACATTTTCCAGTCGATGAATTGATGATATCGTTGAAGGTTTTTGGATCTAAGCCCAGTCTAAAATGACAATTGATATTGAATTATGACCGAGAAATGAATCGATTACGACCGTGAATTTGAATTTTCATTTGATTCAGAACTAAAAAATAATGGAAATGAGTAGTATAGATATGGCGTCCGTGAAAATCCACTGAAATAAGGAAATAAAGTGATTTAAAGCAATAAAAACTCGATTTCAAACCTTATCGCTAAGTTCATGGTTTCGCAAACGCCAATCATTGAGATGCCCAACATCATGTTGTTGCAAATTTTAGCGGCTTGCCCCATTCCATAGTCACCACAATGCGTGATGCGTTGACCCATGCATTCCAACAATCCTTTAACTGTTTTGTACTCGTCCTGTGTTCCGCCAACCATAAATGTCAACGTTGCATTTTCGGCACCGATCACGCCACCGCTCACCGGTGCATCAACAAATGACGCGCCTTTCGTCTTCACTAATTGTTGAACCTTCAAAATTTCAATTGAAAAACATACGCACATATTTTAAAATATCTTTGCTACAGATGTATAACACAAAGTGTGTTCCGTTATTTTGCATCAACGTCGTGCGTGATACGTACAGAACGCTGAACGCGTCGAAATTTATTCAATTTTGTACGAACCTTTTTCGCAACATTTGGATCAATTGTACTGGAGTCAATGAACATTGTGCTGGATTTAACGCCGTTCTTCACCATTTTGTCGTATGTATCGAAAACAATATCATTATTCGGCAGCATTGTGACGACAAAATCGGACTTTTGTGCAACTTGTTCAGCTGAATCGACAATTTTGCAGCCAATGCGTTCGGCTTCTTTGCAAGCAGCCGGTTCAACATCAAATGCATTCAATTTATGACCCTAGAAAAAAAAAACAGTTCTTTTTTTCAATCAATTGAAACCAAACAAATGTTTTTCTTTTCTATTTTTGTGTTGCGTAGCATGATCTACGCAGATATCGGCTTCGATACAATGGCAATAAAAATATTTATATAAATAAAATAATCAACGGCCTGACACACTTAACGCGTGTGCTGGGTGATGCGGCTGATACACACCTCCTTCTCTACGTCAGCGATACATACGTGTCTATTTAAAGAAAATAACAAACATCTCTCCGGCACAAACAAATTGTTTGTGTCATACATATTTTCCTCGGTTGTTTTTTTTTTCGCGGTTGACGAAAATATGCGTAATTTTTTTGATTGGTTGGAGGATGTTAGAGCAATGTCAAATCGTTTAAAAAGTCGAGCCAAAAAATTAATCGAGAAATATTGTAATAAACCATGTTTTAAATTTGTTTCAGTTGGCATCAGTAACGGTGGTAAATCGTCGCAGAGATAATCAACGATGCCAATTTTTCATAATCAGTATTGTTTTTTTCGACATTATCAGAGAGAAATTTGTTCCCTTTTCAAGATGCAATTACCTTTTTAATTAGATTATTTGCCATACGTGCACCCATATTCCCGAGTCCAACGAATCCAACGTTTAATGATTTATTTGCCGCTGCTGAACTTGACATACATTTATAAAATGAATTTGTCAAACTTGTGTTATTTTTAAGTGCATGCAAATGCGACTTGGTAATTATGGTCGAAAATTGCTTGTATGCCATTTTTTTTCAATATCAACGAATAAAAATACAATTCTTAAATAACAACAACAAAATGTGTGTGTGTGTGTGTGTGTGTGAGTCTAAAAGAAATTGAAACTGGCGACTAGACGTTATCAACGAAAATCGGAAGAAAGAAAACAAAATGAAACTAAACAATATGAATGTCCACAACGTTTGCTGCCAGTTAAATAACTGAAACGATTTGAATAACTAAGTCATGGTTTTAGCTGATTTAATCGAGTTGACAGAGTGAGAACGCGTGCTCAGTGTATCAGTGTGCGTTTACTTGTGATAGAGCTCGAATGAAAAACAAATACGATGACTTTCGTTTTTTTTTTTTTTTGTTGGGGCGCTTGTGTTACCTTCATAATATTGTTGTTCTGATTTTAATGCACCATATTTCGTCCTAGGCGCGTATGAGTGTGCGTGCGTGGCAGATCGAGAATTGGTTTTATCAGCATTATCAGCTTCAACACTATATTATATTGTTCGCTGTGTTCATCTCATTATCGCCAACCATTTCACATTCGGCGTCTCTCTGTATATGGATATAATTTGCCTCAATCTCTTTCTGGTGTATTCATACATTTATGTTCATCTTGAAACGTAATGACTGTCTGTTATTTTCTTTATACTTCACCTGAGCCTGATTTGTTTTCACCATCGTAAAAATGCACGTAAAAATATCCAATATGCTAATAAACCCAAATGAATTATATACCAAATTCCAATGCAAATTGCCCATGACGATAATGAATATTTTCTGCATTCACCGGAGGGAAATATTTCAATGAATACCTATTATCGAAACGTATTTAATTCCACTTTTTATTGTTGCTTGAAATTTTATGCGTTTTTTTTTTTAATTTTCTCATTTTTAAATAATGAAAAAACAGTAATTTTGCATATATATGTATAAACACGAATTTTTCCATTAATAAGCTGAACAAAAAAAATTGTCGTGCAAATATTCACATGAAGAATGAAGTGTCTTATCAATGGTTTATCTGTTTTTTCGTTTAATTGTTACATTGTTCATCGATCTGAATAATATGATAAAAAAACAAATGAAAGCAATGAATTACATAATTTCTTATCATATATGATTGGAGTCATTATCAATATTTGTCCCTGGTCCTGGAATTCCTTTTTTCTCTCATTTTTTCATTCATTCAGCTTAATTTGATTCGAAAAACGAATCTAGTCAATTTACTCGTCTAACTGCTTTTAAATTTCTCATTCTGCCATTCTATAATTGAGTGGTCGGGAATAAAAATGACTAAAGTTGAACCACTTATGGATAAGTGTAACACAATATTATTGCTTTTTTAAAGTGCAACATAAATTCTGTTCGCTTGAAAGTGAATCGTGAAATATCTGTTAACTATAAAAATCATGTTTCACTTTGATTAAAGCAAAAATGTTCGCTCGTTGGCTCAATGGGAAGCCATCAATTTGTATACATGAAGGTTTGGGAGCGATGGACACATCATTTTTGCCGAATTCCGCTCGGAAATCCGAGTTTTGGCCATGAGTAGATTTTACCATATAAACCAATGTTATTGCAGCCGCGACAAACCTCGCTCCGAGGTTTTCATACAAACTTCTCATGTAGACGGTCGCAACACAGACAAAAATCGAATTTTTTTTTCTAATAATAGTAAAAGACGATTTCTATAGTCAACAGTTATTTTACGATTCACTTTCAAGCCAACAGAATTTATGTTGCACTTTGAAAAAGCAAGAATATTGTGTTACGCTTATCCATAAGTGGTTCAACTCTAGTCATTTTTTTCCCGACCACTCAATTCTTTTAGTGTTTTACAAACAAGTTGCAAACTGTTTCACACCACCCAAAGTTTGTCACAAATTTGTTTGTGCAAAAAGATACAAAGCAACTGTCGCCACTGTGCGACAAATACATTCTCTTGACTTTATACCATCCATCCATCCATTTTATTTCTTTTCTTTTCTTGAAGAATGAAGCATTGCGGAATCAGATGTCATAAATTTGTAATTTCTTTAGAAAACCGAACATACATCTTCTATAAAATGTGTTTCTTACTGACAACAAAATAGTGTAGTCTACCTTCAGTAGTTTATTGTACCCATTGTATACATCCAACAAATTTTTTAGAGTACTACACGAGTGTGTGCCTCCAGTGGGAGGAAATATCTTTCCAAAAAAAATGAAATGATGCAATTTTTATTGGACATTTTTTCGAAGAACTTTCAAAGGACGAAAATTTGTTGAAAACAGTTAAGCCTAGGAATCATTCCCAGCATTTCATATGTCCTCTGAGTTCCGTCCGAATTCTTTTTCCGATTCCACCTGAAATATTGGTTTTCAAAACAATTCCATGGAAATCGAAACGAAATTTATCTGAGCTTTTATGATGGCATTTTTGATATCTACCAGTTCAGTTTATTGTATATTTTCCAAAAACCAACGATATTTTCGTAGACGCAGTTCTGATAACACATAAAAAGACATCAATTGTTTTTAAACTACAAATTTCAACAACTATTTTATTATCTAAATTATTAGGCTCATTTGATACATCTACTGTTGGTACTAATCTAAAAAAAAAGCAACATTTCTCATTATTTTTCCAAATTATTTAATTCTACTAATGAGATTTTGTTAACTTATGATGACTCTGATTCAATTGTTGTATTATTCTACTTCATCCGAATTCATTTTCTCTTTAACTTTCATCTATGTAGGCAAATTCAATAGACAATTGGCCAAATGGAATTACGTGAACATTTTTCTGTCTCGTGTGATGACTTGCAAAATGTATTGAACGTGGTTTCGGTGGGAAATCCCATTATTTCACGTTCTTCATAAATTCGGTATGTGAATGTACTTTCATAGCTCCCGATGAAATATCTATTCAAGATGAAAAAAAAAAAAAAATTGATTGATCAATCAACCGAGTATTAATGCATTAAAATAATGGATGAATTTTGGGGATATTTGAAATTTGTATAAACGATTTGATAGCTCACCTAGCATGGGAGCAAATAATTTGATCAATAATGGCAATGCCACCAGGTTTCAATCGTTCACGTTCCTCCATGGACGATGGCATGAATTTTGTGACACGATATCTACTTAAGAATGATTTGAAACTACGGAATTCCTGCCCCGTACAATCACTGGACACAAACACATTTTTTATGTGCAACTCTTTCAGCTTGACTAAAATTTGTGTTGCGGCTGATCGAAGTGATGGTGTTGTCTCTTCTCTTCCTTGAACAAAATCCGCTCGTCTTAAATGACCACATACATAACTTCCACCTTTTGCATTGCGATGTTCCTAAAATGAAAAATTAAAAATAGATAATTTGGTTATGCATTTGAACTGGAATCGCTTGGAATTACCGTCTCATTTCTCCAGTCACTCGGTTTTTTAGTGCCATCGAATTCATCGGTCGAGTTGAAGATATCACTTCGAAATGCATCAGCAATTTCCACCAAATATGAATTGAATCGCATCGATCGCCTTGCCATCCAGTATTCGGCACCGCCCCAATAATCATGCAGAACAGTTTCAGCATTCAACATTGCAATCGAATACGTTTTTGCACCATATCTTTTGCAGCAAATAAACAATCAAAATCGACATCTACATAGACGAACTAGTTTTGCCTCTCTCATACTCACAAAGCTATCTGTTTACCTTACCTTTTTGGGTATTTTTGCAGCAGATTATATAAGAGTCCAGCTGAGCCCTGAAATTCAACGCAATGCGTATGCCGAATGCTAAAATTGCTGTACAAACTAAGGAATTGTCCACGGTTTCGGAATGAATCACGATCACAGTTGGTTTGTACCTCGAACTTCTCCTCGAATTTACCACTCTGAAACATGCTCTCAAAATGTTGCAAATGGAATACATTGTCAATCACTATGTGTGATTTCATCCCGTGGCAATCACGCATAATCTCGAAATATTCCCACAAATCGATGATCGACGTGTATCGTTTTATGCTGTCCAGATCGAAAAAATGATTCCAAAACATGATGTCGTCATCGTTGACTTCGTTGTTTCGGTAACGATATGGGGTGACTAAATTCCAATGGTACAATTGATAGAATGGTGGCAATACCAAGTATGAATTGACATAATTGTGTCGTTTGCGTAGAGATTTCAGGAAAACGGCCATGCGAATATACACATCACGACGCAAATTGAATCCTTCCACCGAATTGACATCGTATAGTAGAAAAATTACTGGTGCACTGTTGTTAGCTTGAAATTGTGCACATTTGTTAATGTTGTGTGTAGCGTCGCCAAAAATTGACGGCTTATCGGAATTATCACAATAAAAATGAGAATAAAAAAAATCTTTGTACTGGCACGTTAATGGTTGTTTGATTTGGGGAGGCACTTTTTTGGCATTCACGCATATAACCAACAAATGAACGGTCACAAATATCACAACTCCTGCGAAAAGGAACAAAAAACAAACAATAGCCAACAATAAAATTCGTCAATTTTTGATAGACAAAAAAGGGTGACAAAACAAATCAATAATTATATGCACAGAGGATGACGGCACACACTTACCCAATAATTTTTGTGGCCTCATCACTCTATCCAGTCACATCCTCCTCTTCAGTTGTAGTCATAAAAAAGAAATGTGCTTATTTGTTGTGTGTACACAAAAGTCAAACCGGTGCTTTGATAATAACACGACGTTGACAGTTCTGCTTCTCTGTTCTGTTCTACTCTGCGCTTCTATCTCTCGACAGTAAGCAGATCGTGTGTGTCGATAAGCAGATCCATAGATCCAGATTTGACCTTGTTTATAACATATTTCGTATTTATTCGGTTAAATGAAAAAAACGATTTATTGCTTGGTTTTCTTTTTGGATTTATTTTTTTATTATTTATTTTTCTGAACCAATTTAGAAAGGCCATTCAGCAGTCATTTTGATTTCAATTACAACAAATAAATATACTAAAAATCGATTCGATAGAATATATAAAGGATTCTAATAGATTTCATTGCCGTATGTTTCGAAGAATTTATTGAAAATGTCCGGCAATTCGGGTGCGCGGCAAATGAATTTGTGGCCGTAGCCGCTGTCCGCGTCGAATCGATGGAATTCAACGGGGCCCCAAGATTTATGTCGCTTATCCAATGCCCACAGGTATAATTTATGGCCTAATTTATATGGCACTACGAGGTCATCAACAGCATGCAAAATCATAAGCGGTTGTGGGAATGTTGAGACGTGTTTGTCTGACTCAAATCGTAGTTTATTTTCGAACATTGGATCGACAATGGTGTAATCGAACCATGGCAAGTGACGGAAAAAGCGTGAAAAAGGATGTTCACGCACTTCATCGCGTATATTATTGAATGGACTTTCTAGCACCAAAACTCTTGGTCCAAATATGTTCAGCTGCTTGAGTTTGGCCAAAGTATGACAACCAACACCGGTACCAAGTGAATGACCCCAGGCGAATATCGGATTGGTTGTTACACTTGTAATGTATTTGTATACAGCGATAGCATCGTTCACGAGGCCCGTCTCGGTCGGAGATGCTGGTAATGAGTCACCATAGCCACGGTAATCAAAACAAATCACGTGGTAACCTTGCTCTCTTAACACTTGATACAATTCAATTCGATGTGATGCCGCCCTTGATCCACTGTTGCCATGCATATAGAACACAATTTTAGCACCCGCAACATGAAGCATTCGCTCATAAAATTCCACATTATTTTGCTCGGTGATGGTTGGAAATTCATTTCGGATTTGACTCTCGATGGCTTCAATTGATTGATCGTATTTCACCAGATGGTGCTTTGTCTTATTTGATGGCTTCACATCACTCTGAAAACAAAACAAACAAAAAAAACAGGGTGGATTACATAGTAAAGATTATTTCTTCTCTACGTTTGATTTCAAAACTTTCTTACGAATGAAAAAAAAATTTATTTAAATGATTTTGATTTACCTTCTTCACTCCGAGCTCTTTGGCAAACTTTTGAGCTATATAGTTCGGTAGTATATGCCAAACGCCAAGTGTCACATTCTTGTCTTCAACGTTATCGCGATACTTAATATAAAAATTGCGAGTTGCATATAGGCCAAGATCTGCGGGTGATTTTAATACTGAGGTGGATGGATGTGCAACTGCAAATGATTAAGACGAAAAAGAGTATAATTTATGAAACGAATGAAACGATAAAAACAATTTTTCGTTATTTAACACCCAACGATTTCTTCAACTCAACAGCTATTTTCACCTGAAATTCTATTTATTGACTTAAGGTCAATAATAAATTATCAATATGAAGCATGAAAATATGAAAAGAGAAGAAAAAAAAACGCCATGCATGAACGTGTGTTCAATTTCCATGGCATTCGCGTGATACGAATCAATTTGTGGTGGAAAATTGTACTTACTGAATGTTAAAAATAGAACGCCACGCTGCAATACTGGCGAATACTTATAAATAAATGGTAACACAATAAATATGATAATGCTTCCAATTAAACATAGTTTCAGCGTCGCAATGGATATTCTGAAAATGTACAAATCAACGAGAGAGAGAGAGAGAGAGAGAGAGAGAGAGAGAAAAACAAAAAAAATTCCAAAGTTAATTTGAAAGTGTTTTATCGTGTATTTATATTAAATCATTCGAAAATGATGGGGAAAATACCGTGAGGACGTGCCATCTGTTTACTTTGTGAGCTAGCTGTTTAGCTTTCTACTCGTATTACAACTGTTTCTATCGAAAATATCGTTAGGTGGTTGAAATATTGAATTTCTATCAGAACACTATTCGGTTATAGACTTTCGTAAAATCAAACATTGAAACCCATTTTTTTTTTCTCTATATGAACAACCAAATGATTTATGTTTGAATTTCCGATGAATATCAAGGAAAATGACAACGAACGCCATTTGAAAAAGAAATAGATCGATAAACTACAGTTGACACGTCCTCCCATTTTGCCATTAAAAGAATGTAAATCCACCTAAATGCACATGTGATGAGTGGAATAGATGGTGGGAAAACTACAAATTACTTACAACCCAAATAACCACAATACAACGAAAAGTCCAGGAATGATTGCAGAGGCAAGCACATCTTTCAATATGCGATTTGAATCCAACATTTTCTTTTTCTTTGGTTTTGTATGTGTTTAATTATTTTCTCTTGAATATTCTCTATATTTCAATTATTTCCTAATCGATCGTTTTATTTTGTTCTGCTTGTTTGAATTTTATGGCATATTGAGAAGCTTACATTCTGCCAGCCGATGATGGTCTGCGGTTGAATTTCCGTAAAGAAAATCCATTAAAAAAATTGTTTTAGTTGCACGAAATTAGAAGAAACATTGTGCAAACCCTTTAACTACGTTCAGTGTTATTGTCGAAGTAAAAACGCAGTAAAACTATTGAAAATAGTCCAGTGTCTACTTATTCTCTGAAGAAGAAGGAGAAAAAAAAATGAGCCGTTTTTACAATCAAGACATCGAAATCAATCTATAAGTTTTCGTGTGTAATTTTTTTTTTACAATGAATTTTACACATCGACATTTTTTTCTCGCAAACGATCAAATGATAATCAGCGAAAAAAAAAAAGATACCGTAAACAAAATTTTATTGCGTTTTTACACGAACTTGCACTTGAAATTTTCGCATAAAATTCGGTTCGACATTAAATAACAAAAAATAAAGGTTGATAAGCGTGATTCGTGCTCTCCTTGAAACTAATTCTCTAAGAATAAGTTTACGGCGATAAAATTTAGTTAGGATTCATGGTTGATTTGGCGCAGAAAATGCGCGTCCGATAATAATTGGAACTGAAAATATTCAATTACAAATCACTGTTTGTACCAGCTTCGGATTTTACATTTTATTGATAGATAGAGAGCGAGGCAGATAAAGAATTAAAATTTTAGCATTCAAATTGTTGTACACTATTGCCATTGAAGGGAACTGATTCTATGAGAAGGCATTTGATTCAAACACACACACTTTAAACTATTGTCACACAATCGCAATCACTAAACAAATGGTTCTCACAGTTTGTTAAAATTAGGAAGCAAACTTATCCAAAAAAAAAAAAAAATGCCCGAAAAGCATTGAATAAAAGGGAAGGTATGTTAATGGTGAAAAGTGAAAAGGGGTTTGTATCACCTTTTGATAAAGCGTCGTTTTGATATCACACTCATGGTCGTTGGACATAAGTTAGACTTAAAATGGAAAACAATTGATTCGTTCTCTTCTTTTTGCTTAAGCAGAAAAAAGCTCACTGTTTATAGTCCCGGTCATTTACACGTCAATCACATAAGCAGGCCTCGTTCAGATTTGGTTTTTGTTTTATTGCCAATTTGTAAATATTGTCATTTCTTTCGTTTTGAAAGAAGAATCAACTGAAATAAAGAAAGAGATGCGAAAACCAAAATAATTATTCGATTACGATTGACAAAATTAAAATGTGCTGCACTTTTTCCGCCGGAATGCAGACAATGTTGCATTTTATCTCACTGCAGACTCGAATGGACAACACAAACTGAGCACTTGATTAGAATAAATTCAACAATGAAAACAATGACCAGCTTTATGATTTGAGCGATTCGACTGCCTGCTTTTCGTGTACGTCATGTTATGACGTTTTCCCATTGACAGAAGCAAAATAACATAAACGCACAATGAATTCATTGGATATTGTTTTTGTTTTTGTTCCGGGGGAAAACAAGTTCGGTATTTTTGTATTAAGTTAACTTGATTCCGGTCCAACGACACAAGCCACAGACCTTGCCCGACATTCACTCTGCTACGCTATTTTCCGATAAATCTTATTCAAACAAAGTATGTACAAAGTTTATCATTCAATTTTAGTTTGAACAAAACAAAATTAACACATTTCTATGGCTCAGCATTTTATTCTACGATAACTGTAATTAGTAGGCTCTGAAATATTCAAAATGGGTTTCCGTCGTACATAACACATCTGAATAGAATACGGATATATATAATTTGCAATGATATTTCACTTTTAATTTTTGATTCTGATGAGTTATTGCTTTTAACTTAGATTGACTTATAAAATGTATATTTTTTTTCTTTTCTTGCTATTAAATTGAATTCTTCTTTTTTCTTTTGATTAACGAATTATTCAAATCTCAAAAAGATGCTGAATATGCTGTTTTAGAAGAAAAAAATTTGAACTTTAACGATCAGTTAAGAATTGCTTGTTCAAAATCGCTTGAATATTCTCAGCTTGACTTCTGATAATAATCAATGATGAACCGGTTCAAATTGTTAAATGCTGTAGAGAATAGACAAAAAAAAAAATACTTAATGGGTCGACTAGAGGGAGAGATACTACAGAGAAAAAAAAAGCTTGATTTTCCAATGTTCTCAATTTTAACTGACTAAACTGTCCTATCGTCTGCAATTTATTCTTTAATTTCCAAATTGAATAAACCGATGTCAAGTTTCAAAGAATTGAATTCATGCAGTTCATCATATGATCAAGATATATAATTTTCATTTAACGAAAAAATTTAACCTTTTTCGTTTCGACTTAATTGAAAATATTTGTTAATAATTGTCGAAACTTCCTTTTGAACTTGTCTCTTCAATTAAAATGAACTCTTCAATAGATCGTATACATTGTATACAATTACATAATTTGAACAACTATTTACATCAATTATACGTTAAGCATTTAATAGTTTGTCATCAAAATGTAAACAGATTGAGTTGATTTGCTAATTTTTCTTCTCCACACAACACTATTTTCAGACATAAGCTAGAGTGATAACTGAACACAACAGCGAATAAACAATCACCTTAAAAAAAAATATTAAAAAAACCACTGATACTGCAGAAAAAAAAGCCGAGAATTCTGTACGATTTCAAGCTTGTTTAATAATTTGTTTGTTTCTAATCATCACATACTGAGGAATATCAACGAATATGTTGGTAATAAATTACCCCAAAAAAAAAATAGAACACACGCAAGCCACGGAAATATGTGGCCAATGGATTCCAAAATAATTTGTTAGGTGGAAAATATCTGGTCGAATATCGATCTGTAGGCACACGATATTTAACGTCGCGGTTTTGAGAGAAAATTTAACAGAAACGACAACATGAAGAATATATGAATGAATCGATTTCCAATGTGGGTCAATAGTGTACACAACAGGCTGGTGGGATGTGTTAATTCAGAAAATCAGATCAATTAATTATTGTATTGTATTGTATTTGTAATTAAACAATGAGCACTTATTATTCGCGGTTTTTTTTCTCTCTATATATTGAAATCAACTGAGAAATTGGAATACACTTTTAAACGGGCACAAACACACAAATACAGAGAGAAGAAAAACGATTGTTTTGACGGTGCAGTTGTAATGCAACTGTGTGACTCGGTCACTTTGTATGGTTCAACCACTGGGCAGTGCACACATAAAAGTAAACAGAAACAAAAGAAACAACTGTACAATGTAATTGATTGAAACGTACAAACAAAATCCACTGTCTCATAAACACGATATGCACACAACGGATTTGAGCGTGACGATTATAAAGTGACCACTGGATGCGAACGATCAATGCATGTGTTTCAAAGTTCAAAATGTTGTTACTATTGACAAGTGTAAAAGATAAAAAAAAAAAACAACGGAATAAAATGCTGGTAGCGTGCACACAACAACTACCATATACATTTTATTGTCGATGTTGTTGTTTTGTTCATGTGCTTTGGTTGCTGGCTCGTTGTCATAGTTTTCTTGAATCATACGTCATTCTCGCTAACACACCAATAATTATGGTATATATTTTTACTCAGGACACTCATACACACACTCCTTACATACGAACTCATGCTACATACTTTCTAGATCGCCTTTTGAACGGAATTCATATTCAAGGATGAATACCCGTCGATCAGCTGTGTTTTGTTTATATCGACTAGCAGTACCAAATGCTCATTGAATTTATGTCCCCATTCGAATCGAATCCAACACCGTTTCTATTTGTTTTATTCAGAATTTTAAACTTTAGTTTACCTTGTCAATGGCACATTGTTATGTTGAATATCGATCTTGAACGATATATTGAATGAACTGTCGTCGTCAATTTTTGTTTCTCTCTCTTTATCGATTCAACTGCCTTTGAGGTTATGCCATGACAGATACAACCAGTATTACCCGATAAACTATTACATTTGCAATTTAATGTGAATGTTAACAAAAAAGAAAACAATGATAAGACTGTCTATCTTTTTTATTCTAATTGAAAATGCAGTTTAAATGAAAAAAAAATTAAATTTTTGAAGATAAATGTAATTTAAGTGAAATTTGCTAAGAAAAATGAATTAGATGAGAATATATCTATAAATTGAAACGAAAACATCAACCGTTCATTAGTTTTTCTACCAAAGACACATTAAATCAATTACATTTCAATGATAAATTAAAATCAATTTCATGCGAAATGTTCGCAGTTCAAATTTTGAGCCGTTGTCATTTTATAAAGTAATACTGTTTGTTTCTTCTCTTCACTGACACCACTCCAAATGTGTGGTTATGTTATGACAAATACATTTGACGTAAATCGAAATTTGTTTGTATTTATGCGAACAACGTACTGTTTCATACGCAATACATTGAGTAAATTTGTTTTCCAATTTTCCGGGGAAGTTTCATAGTTTCTTTTTCATCTTGAATTGAGTGCTAAATTTGGCGAAAAATGAATAAACCAAAGATAACCTTTGGAAAAATTCAACTGAACGTTAAAAAGGATGAACCAATCGAAACAAATAAACCAGCAGAAGACAAAGTTGAAGTCGCACCAACGTCAGGTTAACGTTTGACAATGTTTTTGCTTTGGCTATCGATGCATTAATTATTTTTGGACGTGAAATGAAAATGATAACTGTTATTTTTATTTGTTCATTTAGGCTTTGGAACATTTGGAAAGCAAGAGAGAAATTCAATCAACAATGCCATCGAAGATCTAGCTCTCGATGATGCAGAGAGTCAACAAGTCAAAGACATAATGGGCATCTCAGAATTTGGACGACGCGCCAAATCTTTTGATATTACTGTGAGTTTTTTTTTTTCTATTGGTTGATAAATATTTTTGTTGTTGTTCTTGTTCATATTTGTTGTATGATGAACAAGACATAAATATGTTTATGTATATTCCGTTTTTGTTGTTGTTCCAAACAAGCGCAATATATTCTCTCTCTCTGGACCTAGCTAATGTTTTTTCTTGAATTGTTCATACATTGTAGAAAGAAATTGCGAAGGCACGTGAAAAATCTACCGTTTCATCAACAAGCACCAGTTCGGAACAAAAAACCGACGGAAAGGCCAACGAAAATGCATCAGATAGTAGCAATAGTGATGATGATGACGATGATGATGTCGTCGGACCTTTGCCACCGAAAGATTTCCAACCAACAGAACAGACCTCAAAGTATGTATAGAAATCGCGATCAATTTAAAAACAATTAAAAATAATTAAAAAACGTTCTTTTAAATTGTCAGAACAAAGAAGAAAACCGATGACAATGAGTCAGCCGACAGTTATGATGACCTGAGCGATTCAGAGGACGATGATGAATCAAATGTTGGTTTGGCAAATCGAATTCCAGCCTCGCATGAAGTGACAATGGTACATGGAACTCGATCGGTTTTGGCATTGGCCAGTGATCCATCTGGGGCTCGTTTGGCATCTGGATCCATAGATTCAAGGTTAGAATTCAGCACTGGTCATTAGTACATCGACATTGGTTGTTCATTGAAATTAATCGAATTAAGACTTTCTCATTAACAGCCTTTGCTTTTGGAATTTTGCCGGTATGGATACGTCAATGCGCAGCTTTCGTACATTGAACCCGGCCGAAAACTATCCAATTCGAGCTTTATGCTACAGTGTTACGGGTGATATGATCCTGATCGTATCGGGAAATTCGCAGGCAAAAGTATTGGATCGTGATGGTTTTGAAAAATTAGAATGTGTAAAGGGTGATCAGTACATAGCCGATATGTCACGTACAAAAGGTCATACAGCTCAGTTAATGTCCGGTGCATGGCATCCGCATCAAAAAGGTGAATTTCTAACCAGTGCCATGGACTCAACGCTACGCATTTGGGATGTGACAAATAAAAATCATCACAAAATAATAATAAAAGTGCGTAGCCAAGGTGGCCTGAAAACGGTGCCAAATTCATGTGCATTCACACCTGATGCAACGCTCGTGGGCACCGGTTGTGTTGATGGTTCCATTCAAATGTGGGACACACGCAAAACATTCGTCAGTACGACACATTGCATTCGACAGGCACATCAGAAGGGTAGCGAAATATCATCGATACAGTTCTCGTATGCGGGAAACAAATTACTGTCACGATCATTGGATGAGACCATGAAAATCTGGGACATGCGTGCACTCAAACAACCATTGCATATTTTTGATGATTTATACGCACGGTATGACACGACCGATTGTTGTTTCAGTCCAGATGATAGACTCGTTGTTACCAGTCAATGTTTGCCGAAAGATTACAGCCCGGAAAATCAATCACAGTTGGTCCTTTACAATGCAAACACATTTGAATTGGTTAATAGAATTAGCGTGACCGAAGCGCATGTAATCAAAACGTTATGGCATCCAAAATTAAATCAAATATTTGTTGGTTGTGGCGATGGATCCATTAAATGTTATTATGATGAAAAGCGCAGTTTCCGTGGCGCTAAGCTTTGTGTCACCAAAACGTATCGTAAGAAAAAGCATGCTGAAATTGGTGGCATTTCACAAGTTATTACACCACATGCATTGCCAATGTTTAGACAGGAGAAATCACGATCGTCAAGGAAGAAGATGGAAAAAGATCGACTGGATCCGGTTAAATCACGACGACCAGATTTACCAATCACAAGTGGTCAAGGTAAAACATATTTCTTCTTCACGAATTCAAATTTGTTTTAATCCATTCGAATTATTCTAAAACTTTTTAAATTCATTTCATTTCATAGGTGGTCGAGTTGCATCATCTGGTGGTACGTTGAGCTCGTACGTTATTCGAAACTTGGGTTTAAGTAAGCGAGTGGAAGACGATCAAGATCCGCGTGAGGCAATCTTGAAATATGCAAAAGAAGCCGAGGAAGATCCATACTGGATTGCGCCGGCATACTCAAAAACGCAGCCAAAAGCCATCTACAGCTCTACCGAAACCACCGAAGGTGAACCTGAAGCGAAAAAACCCAAACAATCATAAATTTAAACTATTCAGTATCATTATATTCTATTTTTGCTCATTTTATACAGAGCAACAATTTCCAGATTTGCTTTAATGAAAAATCATGTCATTAATTAGTAAATTAGAATAAAGACTGTCTATCTAACTAGCTAACAAGGTTTGCTTCTAGTTCATGTGAAATCTATGGAATAAATGTAACTTTTATTGTAAAGATGTTTGTGAGATAAATATTTGTGTACAGAAAAATCACAAATGACTGGCTTATTTCTTCTTATCCTTCCTTTTCCAATCTATCGTCATCCGTTTCAAAGGTTACACATTTAACCGGAAATGAAACCGCATCAAAGATGCTAGATCATACATTGTTCAGATAATAATTGCAATTTCAATGGAAACAAGAGCATGTGTGACTGGAGTGTGCGAATCGTCGACATTCTGTATTGTTTGGTATGGCGTAATAAAAAGTTGCAAAACACGTTAGAGAATATAGAACTAGAAGTTACAATACGAAAAGTGTTTTTTTTCCATTCTCCTTTCCTCGTGTGTTCATTTAAAGAATCATTTTAAAAAGCTAAAAAAAAAACAGTCGGTTGCCTACGAGAAATGTGATTGAATCTGTCGGACCGATAAAGTCTTCAGATAGGGTTTGTTTTTTTTTATTTTCAAGTGCTTTTTCATGTTCTTCCCATTTCTTGACTCGTATCAACATCAGCTAGACTGGAAAAACAAAAACAGATCAAAAGCATTGACCGTCAAATCAAGGCTAACGGTTCTTTTCGATAACGAAGGACGGAAAACAGAAACGCCGCCAATAGCATTACTGCTTTGATTACATTTTTTAACCTTTTCGTTGTCACAAAAAAAAAAATTGGCATTCACTAATCAAATGATGCTATTTTCAGCTCCGTGAAAAAGCGCCAAAAAGTATGATGAAGATTAAAACGATTTGTGGTTTTTGTGTAAGGAAATTCCGATTTGGAACTTCGTTATTTTAATATAAATAGATAAAATAATTAACAGGAAAGAAAAAACATTCGAATGTTCTTTTGCGTAAATGCCAAAATAGGAAGAAAAAAAATGTATGTGTATTGTGTATCGCTAATAAAATCACGATTTAAGAAATAAAAATGTGTTGTGCTTCGTTCATTGAATTCCGGAATGTTTTGCTTAGAAATTTCGCCGTTGCTGAATTAGTCGTTGCTGTGGTTGTTGTTGCTGCTGCTGCTGTTGTTGCTGTTGTTGACCATTTTGTGGTTGACGACGACGTTGCTGTTCCTGCAAGGCTTGGAGACGATCTTGCAAGAATTGAATTTCCATTTGGAGTCTTTCATCTTCTGTAATGTTGCTGGGATAGACGACTTCTTGGATTGATGGTGCGTTCAAGTTTGGAATTACATTATTACCGTTTGATCCAAAACGATTGATAACATCATCAGCACCGCCGTTTATTGGTGCAGCAGCAACAGATCCAGCAGCTGGGCGTCCAGGTGTACCACGATGCGCTTCGATATGTGCTTGGTTTACAATCCAGAATGGTCGTTGATCAATTGGTAAACTGTTCCAGTGATTGACGATCTGCGCATCACCGTATGCATCGTATGGCAAACGATCAGTGCTTGTGGTGACTCCGCCAGTGCTACTCGATTCACCCAAACGGTCGTTGACATCAGGCGTGATTGCAGTGCTGCTCTGTGGAACAAATCTATCCTTATATCCAGCTCCTGGACGTGATCCAGCGTACGGTGATCGTTGAGCGTTGACAGCAATCAACATTGAAGCAAAAATTACGAATAGGAACGACATGATGATTTTTGTTTTAAATTTATGACAATTTCTTTTTTTCAACTTGAAAAAAAAAAACACTTTCTTTTTTTTATTGAATGTTTTTGTATTTTGTAACGATCACAAATGATCTTCGAAAGAGTGACAAAATTTTCTGAGATCAAAACAATGTTGCGAACGATTGTTGTGCTTCTGATCAACTGACTGAATTGGCTACAGTGCCGAAGATATTTATGCGAACGGTTTGTTTGGGGAGAGAGAGATACGCTGCGCACTAACACTGCCACTTACACACACTTACACACCTTCGCCACATACTCGCTCCCGAACATTTCGCATTCCAAATCATCTATACTGCAGCCGCATCATAAATGAACTACCTTTTGAGTGTTCGTTAATCTCTTACAGGTTCTAGGCCATTTCTACATAGTTTGTTTTTTGTCTTTTCTCAGATTAGTTTACGAAATCCAGTAATGGTTTCGGGTAATCTGTACTTTGAAAAAAAATCACTCCATAAAGATTTGCACTATCTTGACTCTATTTACTAGGCATTATTATTCATTTCGACTGTTCACTTGTTTCGTCAGCCGATTGTTTATCGGCATGTATGTATGTGTGTGTGTGAGTGAGTGAGTGTGAGGATGACTACAATGGTGTAAACACTCACCAGAAAACCAATTACGTTTTGCTTCCATTAACACACCAAGTCATCCTACATGCACAGAATTTCATTCTTTTTCCCCATGCGTCGTCATCGACGTCGCAACAGTTTTTTTTTTCCGGAATTGCTTCTGTTTCTTCTATTCGTTTCTTATCAAACGAACAAACAAGCATGCAGCAACTTGGGATGAGAGACTTAGTCATCAATAAAATGCCGGGTTTTTGTAACAATGCGTGCGACAGAATCATCGCTTGTTGCCTAATTTGTAAACAATATGATTGTGCTTGTTTTTCTCTTTGATTATTGTTGTTATTAGTAAGCGCGCGAATTTACAGCTTGGGATTCTGTGTACTTTGCACAAAATGACGTCGTAATTGAAGTTTCTCTCTCGCATTCGATCAGTCGAGAGAGAGAGAGAGAGAGAGAGATCTTTCTAGAGATAGAATGTTAAAAAAAAACCCTATATTCGGTGTCTGAAAACTTATTAACATATCGTGATCAAATCGGACCGATTCCAATACTTTGTCATTAAATCTCCAATCAAAAGTGCATTTTTATGAATATAGTTTAGCAAACGTGTGACAATAAAAAAGAGCACAATGTTTCAGCTCGTTCTGCGGTTCATGAAAAAACATAAACGAAGCGTAGCAAAAACAAAACATATACACAAGCGATGTGTTTCCATGCGTCGCTCAGTTGTAAAATCTGGAAAAACCCAAACCAATGAATGCTTTACGTATGAAGCGTTGTGATATTTTTCTTGCCGTATGCCGCGGCTTTGTTTCGGCATGGGTGTATTCGAGGCATTTAAATGGAATCAAACCGCAATGAGTTTATTTTTTCTTTTCTTCTATCTTTTCTATCTCTCACTTCTTGCCCATCTTGGTGGTATCAGTTATAGTTGCTTTAGTTTTGTTGTTGTTTTTGTATTGATTGTCATTAATTTGGTTTTAATCAGTTGGATTTAAAAGTCCAAAATAGACTGAGGCAAATGTTATGCGCGCACACAACACAATATAGTACAATGGGTTTCTACGAATTTCGAATGGGTTTTTTTTCGCAATCGTTAGAGCGTACGCGCGCGCGCATAATGCATAGCAAAACCTTCATCATAACAATCACCAAGATTAATTTGTTTAGTTGGTGAGCTGTCGCATGCTAGACATAGAGTCGCATGGATATTGTCATCTGATATCGCAAATTAAACAAGAAAATCCATTCGTTCAACCAGCTAGCGTCTTGTTTTTTTCTCTGCGTCTAATAATAGGAAAATATCAATTTATCATCATCAATATCAATAGCACGTTGTTTTGATGCAAATTAAGGGGACAAATAAAGTAATTTCAAAAAAAAATTATCGTTTGCCGAAATCGAATGTACCAGTGATGCATGTTTTACTCATTACATATCCGACACGATATTTATATTTATATTTCATTTCGGTTTTTCTCTCACGACGAATGCAATGCATTTTAATAAGTATAAGCTATTATTAGAAAAGAAAGTTCAGCCAGTCAAATTTGTTCATTCAATTATAGATTCAGTTTCGTCTCAAATATTTCCTTTTCTTTCCTGCTCATACAAAGGAATATGCACGTATCTAATTAGCGGAAATTATTCATCAAATTTTAGTTCTTTCCTTCATTCTTTCTTTCACACGTGGTGATCTCCAATTTTTTGCCGCAGAATGTTACGTTCATTTATTGGATAAAAAATTCAAAAGTATTTTATTTAAAACAATCAACATAAAACAAAATCTACCTGGTTACCTGAGTATTTCAAATAAAATTCTAGCTCATTGGAAAATGAACACAATATCAAAGTTTAAAATAAAGAAAAATAATTAAGGTGAAATAATGAAATAAAAAGCAATGTTATTAGCGATAGCCAGTAGAGTTTCATGCATTTCTTTAAAATATTTTGCGATATTTTTTTACAAATATCTTCATACTGTTAAATTTTCGCTTATTTCCAATACATTAACCAAAAACATGATTTAAAATTAAGAGGCTGGCATGAATTAGAGAAACTAAATTTTAAAAATTCATTGTTAGTGTCAGAACCGACGTCATTATACAATAATGTAATTATTGTAATTAGGATAACGAGCCCGAGCATGCGTACGTAATGCTGACAATAATTTTGTGTTGGGAACTAATTGCGTACCAAGAACGGAAATACATCCAGGGGGAGAACCATTATATAGTCTAATGGCATTACCAATGTGTGCTCCTTGAGCTAGAGTTTGACGTATCATCCGTGCATACCACCCAAGGGAGCCTGGGAATAAAAAGCATTTTCATAAATCAATTCAAATATTATTACTAATCCAAATAATGCATACAGATCTTCGTTTCATCTTGTAGATCATAGTCTGGGGCGATATACATTCCTTCTTCATAAGTTTTGGCATGTTTCAATATCTGCTTCATATTTTTTATAAATTTTTTGCTCGCTCGGACCATTGCTTGAGCATTAGTTAGTGATATTCCGTTAGGTTGGGCCATCGCATTCGCTACTGCTTGTAATTCAACCATAGTATTCAAGACAACCGAATCATGATAGCTGATTTTTTCTGAATACTCGTTTGCTAAATCTATGATTTAAATCAGAATGGTGTTAACATCATTAATGGCAATCAAATTCATAATAGTAAAATGATCAGACAACCACTATACATACTAAATATTTCCCCAACCTCAGGAACATGCGTTTCCTCCTTGATTAAAATCTCTTCTTTGATATTCAGTTCATTGAATGCTGCAATACAGACAAAAAGAGAGACGATTACGAGTCGTAAATTACAACAAAACGAAACAGAACAAAACAAATCAGTACAACACAATATATAGTCCTAAAAATTACATACCGTTTAAAATATTTGGATTGAAATTGGCCGGAACATTTGTTGATTATAAGACATTGTAGTATAGCTATAATGTACGTGTGTACGCGTTGAAGGTAAACATAAGTAGAACGAACATATCTATTGACTAGATCGAGAGGAGAGTAAGTTCATCTGACTTTGTTATGAAAGAGAAGAGTAAGTTTCTTTCGACTCAAAAATGGTTAAAGGCGAGTATGTTCATTTTTGGCGGGTCCTCGCGGTTTTCCACGGTTTCCGCGGAACTGATAAGAGATAACAACTTGGTGTCTTCGGCAAAGTTGTAGCACTCGAGGTCTTCTATAACATTGCTGAAGTCAAATATCTCTTATCTCTTATCAGTTCTGCGAAAAGTGCGAAAAATGATAAGAAAAAAAAAGTTCTATATAAAATTTGCTTTTTTATGTGCGCGATGAAAAACCGCGGAGGCTAGACGGGATGCCAACATACTTCCTTTTAACGCAAATAGAATCAACAGTAAACATACTCTCCTCTTTCAAAATATATTAGCATTTTTTCACATACTCTCCTCTCGATCTAGTCAATAGATATGACAGTTTGACATTTCATACACAGTGTTCACGCTCACAGCGACATCATTGTCAGTGTTGCCATTTGGCTACCATTCATACATATACGCACGTAATTGACGTCTGTGATGTCTGTTCGTCTTAATTGAAGTAAATTTGTGTAAAGAAAATTCATACAATTTTGAGACATTGCTTGGTGACTGTTATGAAATCACTACTTTTGAATCATCGAGTTCCATAAGCATTCGATGAACAATAACTGTACTTTTCTCAGATTTAAACAAACAATAATGATAAAAGAGAACATATGCGATTTTGTAGCACATAATTTGACATAGAATTTGAAAAAACGTTCGTATTTATTAGAAACAAAAATATAACCATTTTCTTAAAAAAATTTAAATTATGTTGTCAAAACCTTATTGGGTTCTTTGACAAAAAAACTGTGTTTTTAATCAATGGTTAAATCTTTTCGGCTACCTTACACATGAATATGCACGAATATAAAGTAGGAAAAAAGGGTTAATAAAACTATGAAATAACATGTTGGAATAAATTATTAGGAAAACTTCTGAAATAGAAAATTACTTTTTCACAAATGGGAATTTTACTTTCTTGAACTAAGTCACCAATTTTTTAATAAAATGTTTTATCACTGATATCTTGACAAAAAGGCACGCACAGTACATAAGAGCCAATGCAAAAGTCAATTGATACGCATAAGTAACGCCACCTCTAATGATTACGTAGAGTTACCATAAGTCGAATGCAATTGATGTTGAGAAAAAGAAGAAGAAGAAGTAGACATTCTATTCATTTACATGGCAATAATGGCAATCAGTAGAGATGGTGCTCATGTGCCGATCATATCACTGTTACAACCCTTCGATCTTGACTAATATCCTGAGAAACTGAAGACATTTTTTAGGAATTACAATACGTCTTTTCCGAATAACAAAATTTGAACAATAATAAAAACAACGATAAGTTGATGGATTTGAAAGAATTTTATATAAGAAAGGAGGTGACAAACTTTAAAGGGAAAAATAAAATTGACAAAAAACCTTTGAAGAAAATAATTTCAGCGGGAATTTCAAATTTCAAAAAATTGTACATTGTGAAACAAAATTATTCATTCCAATATAAAAAAATGCAAATTGTTAAAAAAAAATCAAAAATCAAATGATCAGGGACGATCATTTCTAAGAGAGGAGAGAGTTAACGTAACGTAATATTTGATTTCTATTTTAATTTTTAATTAATACACAGTTCACCATAACATAGCTAATCAATTTGTAAAGTACAGATAAACCTTAGCACTAGCAATCTGTGCCATTTTTCATGAGGCGTCTCCACTCGCATTGAGTTTGTATTGTGAATGTTAAGGTGCGTGCAACGCCCTTCAATGTAAAAAACAATACAAGTGGAGATGATACACGGGATTTATCTGTACTTTCAATAATAGAACAAAGAACTTGATTCATTTCCAAATATTGATTATTATTTAGAACCACATTTTAATTAACACAGAAACATCATTACACAATAAATGCACACCGAATCAAGTTAGTCGTTACACCAGAAATGCACATCAAATTACATTTGTTATAAATACCAAATTGTACTTGACGTTTTCAGTTCAGTTTGTATGAGCATTAAATAAAGTCACTTCTTGTGCACTCTGCAACTGTCTCACTTGTTTTATTAAAATCTGTAAACATTTTATCTGTGGAAACCATTTGGTTTCTTAACTCGCGCGCATAATGCATAGCAAAACCTTCATCATAGCAATCACCAAGATTAATTTGTTTAATTGATGAGCTGTCGCATGCTAGACATAGAGTCGCATGGATATTGTCATCTGATATCGCAAATTAAACAAGAAAATCCATTCGTTCAACCAGCTAGCGTCTTGTTTTTTTCTCTGCATAATAGGAAAATATCAATTTATCATCATCAATATCAATAGCACGTTGTTTTGATGCAAATTAAGGGGACAAATAAAGTAATTAAAAAAAAAAATTATCGTTTGCCGAAATCAAATGTACCAGTGATGCATGTTTTACTCATTATATATCCGACACGATATTTATATTTATATTTCATTTCGTTTTTTCTCTCACGACGAATGCGATGCATTTTAAAGTATAAGCTATTATTAGAAAAGAAAGTTCAGCCGGAATGACGGAAATTACTTTAATTTATGCATATTTGCATAGTGTCATCGTCATGAACATTATTTGCTATCTTAGATGAAATAGAATTTGGAGTTTATTCATGATATTATCATTTGGTATTTATATTATAATCATCAATCCGTTTTTTCTACGTATAATTTTTTTAAACTTTTTTCCTCCATGAAATCTTTTTTTGTTCTGCCCATTTTCTAAGGAAGACTTACGATTGACTTATAGTGATTCACAGGAAAATGGAGAACAATGAGAAGAAATGATAAAACTTTATCAAACGTAATGATTGTTACTAATGACAATGCAATGCAATAGTATTGAAACTATTAAAAATGTAATGAATTTGTCGAAAAAGAAGTGATTTGCCCCTTGGATTTACGCAATTCTGCTCCGTATTTCTTTTGTTCGGTCTGTAGGTTTGTTTCCCACATTTATTTATCAATAATCAAGAGGAATTAAATTAAAAGGCTTGATAAAAATTCAAACTAGTTTTTTCCTTCTAAAAATAACCGCCTAAATGAACTAATAACAAGCGAACTTTGATATTTGAATACACATTTTTTCTTCATCAATGCAAAAAAAATGTTGCTTAAATGGCCTTCCTGCGAAAATAATATAATTACGTTTTTTTCCTTCTCTCGATACAGCCATTGACGTCAAAATGCCTTTTTTCCACGAATGCTAAACTTGGACAGTGTGTTCAAGTCGGGAAATTTTGTTACAATTCACATTTGTCTGTTTTTAATGCGCAACAAATATAAGTTCCAAATGCCTTTTTTTGAAGCGTTAAATGTGCCAATGTGAGGGAAAAAAATGACGAGCGATAACGAGGGAATGGGAATTTACTTTTCATCATTTTTTTTGACATGTGAAATTTTATGTCTCTATTGTGAAATTGAGTTTAAATTTCACGACATAAGTTTAAATTTCGATTTCATCCGATCGATATTCGGGCTATCCAGTTTCACTAGCGTTCTGATGCAATCATTCTTAAATGGCTATCATTTTCTACGAAAATATCTTTTTTGAACGAAAATAAATTGAATTGTGGTTTCACATCAACACAATTAACTCACCATAACAAATATCTCCTATTTAGCTGGGCGATAGGCGCAAAATGCTATCTGCTGAGCTTGAGAACAACAGAGTTGTTTACAACGCATCGATCGGATTACCCATGATGACATGATTTTGTTCTTATTTTTTCATTTCTGCGAAAAAAGTCATTTCGACTTTAAAAAATAACACTTTACTCAAATATCAGTTTTGCGTATGATCTTAGAATTGCGAAAAGATAGAAACGAAATCGAAATTAAAAGTCGATTGATTTTTTTTTTCTAATTCAAAATTTTATTTAGTGATAAGTTGATTGGAATTTGACGAGGGAGAGGGGAGCAATGTATAAAACACTGGTCTGATCCTAATCTGCAGATTTTCACCACATATTCTAAATAAATGTATTGTAATAAGTGAAACGCTTAAAACAAGGCGAGATAGAGAGATAGAGACAGAGAAAAAAATGAATAAAAAATGACTTAGTATAATACAAATACAAATTACAATACGTAATAATACCAACAGAAAGGCAAAATGTCTACAACTAAAAGTCTGTACTGTTTTGTCTTTTGTCAAATGTATTGTTCAATGGATATATGAAGCATTTCCTTCGTAATTTCTTGAGCTCCATCATTGTTTTTGCTTTTGCTTCGTATTCAAAACAAATCTGGGCCGCGTTGATGTTATTTGCTAAACATTCTTTTTTTCATTTTATTAATAAACTACATACTGCGATTGGTTTTCATTTATAATAGCAACCACTTTGTCATCATGCACACAGATTTCACGCACAATTTTCACCCACACATACAATTTGTCTTTTGATATTTACATTTTTCTAGCTTTACGCGAAAATCAAATTATTACAGCTTCATTTCTTGTGGCCTAAAGTCAATTTAAAAAAAAAAAAACAGCTAAAAACAGCTAAAGATATCTTGGAATAGCACATTCGTTTATTGCTGTGTGCAGTCACGATAAATGTTAATTTTATATAAAACGGTTTGCATGGGATTTCCATTGAGTAGCACCGGTGATCGACATGGGATCTGAAATGAAACGAAAAATTCAAAATTCATTTTTTAAAATAATTCGCATTAACCAACAGCGAAATAAAACGTTGATTGATTTGTGGATTGCTAATTACTTTTGTCTATATTGTACTCACCAAATCTGACGGTTGGAGATTGGCTTGAAACTCAATTTGTCGCTCGAAATCGCCAAATGACGGGATATTGACCTCAAAGCTGGCATGGGATGCAGTTCTTTTTTGATAAAACATAGTTTCATCGGTGATATTATGACTATCTAAATGAATGTGACTCCCTTTGCCGGTGTCTTCTTTCACCGAGCACAGTGTCCATTCCAGTGGATTTTGTGTTCTGCATACAATACAAATCAGTTTTTAATAACGATAAATAAAGGGAACAAATTCAAAGATTTTCCCACAAACTCTACATAAATTTGTGGCAGATAATTTTCAAAGCAAAAACTTACACGAAAACGAGCTCAAATCGATGTTCCTTCATGTATTTCGAGAGTGGAATATTGTAGGTGATGTTGAAATTCGGCAAATTGATGCGGCAAATTCGATCGTAACCAATTGTCATATTGAAAGATTCACTTCGAATTTGCAAGTAAATTATGAGGCATGCTGGATTTGCTGCATTAAGTGGAATACCGTAGGATGAAGGTGTCGAAGCGGTTGTTTGTGTTGCTGAGGTGGCACCATTCGCCAATGGTTCGAGAATTCCATTGGATGGCTTTGGTACTGCTTCAACGCCGTCTTCGGACGATTTTTCAGATTTATTCTCATTTTTCATGAATGTAGGCTTTATGTCATTTTCTTTGATCGAACCCGAATGGGCGTCAGCAAATGATTCAATTTCTTGCTGCTTGATTTCGGTGTTGGTATCAAGCGATTCGTTTGGTTTATGCATATCATCGGTGCGATCGTTTGGAATTGGCTCCACTTTTTCCGAATAATTTGATTGCACAACTGGTGCTAGTGTGTTTTGTGTATTACTTACAGAATCTCGCACTTCAACTGGTTCTTCTGCCTGAATTGCCATTTTATTGACATTGTTTTTATCATCGATTGGCGATGGATCATGTGAACTGTTATCAATTTTATCTTTGGCCGTTGTGTGTTCAACCGATGTGTGATTTAAATTATCACTCAAAGTTGTCGATAGTTCAATAGATTCACTCTTTCGCTCGATTGCTAGTAATTTTGTGGTGGTAATGGTGGTGGTGATGGTCTTTTGTGACTTAAATGCCGTGCTGGTTTCAATTATGTCATCATGTTCGGGTATATTCTCTGGTGCTTCGGGCATTTCAGACACTTGATTCACCTTTGCCGGCTCATTGCCACTGCTCATCGCACAATATGAAGGACACAGCAACGGTGGTGGTGAATCTGAAGCGGTTCGATTTGGAATTTGCTCACAATGCGATGGTAGACCGATTGGAAATGGAAACTTGCGTTCACGATGATGGTAATCTGATTCGGTCAATTGGTCATCTTCTGAAAATATAAATAATATTAAATAAGTTCAATAGGTGAGAAAATGTAGAGAAAATTCGTTCAACTTTTGCAGTAAACTCACTTGAATTGGGTGCATTGCGATTTTCAATGTCATTGCTTTGGGTCTTTGCTACATTTTTACTATCTGATTTGCCTGAAAATATTTTTAAAATAAAGATTTGTGAAAAACCGCTTCCATCAATTTTCATGATGATAATCATCCAACGGAATCCAATACGTACTGTTATTCCGTGGTGGATTTGGTCCGTCCTCAATAATGTTTGCCTCTATCCCATCGTCAGTGGGACCCTCAACGATCGAATTGCTTACTTCTGGCGGTCCAGGATAGCTTTCACCAATTTTTCCCTTCAGCTGCACCTTTTCGGTCGTTACTTCATTATCATACTTCGTAAGCGCCAGTTTTGCTTGTTTTCCGATGATCTCGTTGGTTCGATTGGAGTTTGGTAGAATTTTCTCGAAATCAACTTCTCCGGGTGTTATTTGTAATGGTGTTGTTGATTTCGATTGACTTTCTCCGTCTAATTTGCCATTATTTGATTTGATCCCACCCGTGGAATGAGAGCCAGTATTTGGCGAACCCGATTCAATTATCGATATGGATGATTGCTGAGAATTGTTTCCATTTTGAGTATTATGGTGTGTTTGTTTCGAACCCTGTTCACAAAAACGAATCATAATTAAAAGGTGTGTTTTCCTTCTTTTTTGTTATAACCCGTGTGCAAATATTGTAACTGACCAGTCAGTTAACTAATTTCGCACAAAAATGATTCACTTCGATTGACATTTCAGTACAACGTGTAGTGTAAGTCTATCAAAGTTAACTGAAATCGTTTAAAGTTACAAGTCAAAATAAATTGCTTATTTTGGGACAAAGTGATTTTCTTCATACAAAAACATAAATTCAATCAACTACAGTCAACTGAATCCAGCACCGTAGCCAGGCCGGCACAATGGGTGCATTGCACCCTCCAAAAATTTCAAAGGTGCAACAAAATCGGGTGCAAAATCGGGTTTCAAAGGTGCAACAAAAGAAAAATTTCGATTTTGCACCCTCCAATTTTTTTTCTGGCTACGGCGCTGACTGAATCTAAAGTCAGTCAATCAGTCATTTTTTTTCCACACGGGTATTCATTTTTGAATTTGAACATTCCGATAATGTACCTTTTTTGAGATGATATGATTATCATTCCAATTATCAAATAATACATTGTTACTCGCGCTAAATCCGCCTCCTTCCGGTCCATCACCAACTATGCCATTTCCGCCGTAGCTACTATTTACGAGCGCATGTTTGTCCAAGTAGAATTGGTGCGGATGCCAATCATTTTGTTTATTATGCTCCACAAAATACAATGTGGATATTGCTGCTAAACTATGGAATTGAAGAAAACAAAACGTTAGCAAAACCTTAGTAAATTCAAATCTATATAGTTTCCAATAAAGTTTCTACTATGGGTTTAATTTCCAGCCTGTTCAATAATGTTAAGTTTAAACGCGTTATGTTTCCTATTTAGTTGATTTTTATAGAAAAGTGCAGTTTGCGCTCTTACCAAATGGCCATTATTATCACTAATACAACAATAGTAATTTGTATCATTTTGTTTGAACATGGTTCTATTGGATCTTCATCATACTGGCCGAATTTACACTTTGAATGAGAGCAATCGGATTGGTCTGAAAATGCACAAGAAATTTCTAGAGCCTTAGCATTTGATTGAGTTTTTCGTTTGTGATGCCTACCAATTTTGCGAACTTGAACGAGACGTGAATTCATTCGTTCAAGCTGTTCTATCCGGTTTTCTAATGATCCGGTCACTTTGCACAACTCTTTAACCGCTCCAATATTTTCCATGTAGATGCGATCTTTATTCACCACCAGAAAATTGTTGATAACTTCTCCGCTGGGTAGTAAAATATTTCCCGTTTCTTGAACGGCGTCAGGTAAAACTTCTCGAATTTCTTGCGCAATAACACCGGTGTCAATCACTTCGATAACATCATTTTCTGGCGCACTTGAATTTTCACGTTCGTTTGTTCTATTGAATTTGGTCGAAGATTTAATGGCTGGTGTGTTGCTAATTAAACCATGATGAACGGCAAATTCGGGATCATATCGATACCGCACCACACGGATGCGTTTCACATTTTGCAGTTGCTGCGATGTGTCCAGTTCGCCAATTTCTTGTTTCGCCCGACTATCGGAGATAATTGTTTTATTTTGATGGAGAATTAGTAAAAAATTGACATTTTTTCACTTTTCACTTTGATGGTTTTGCACCAAGATCAAGTTATCACTAACAAATGTTACTAATACGCTATAATTTAGAAATTGAATATCACCTATCGGATGGATGAACGATGTGTCCCGACACCTTCAGATTGCCATGAACGACAAGACTCTCGTCGGGTCGATCTGTATTGATGCCCACACGATTTGCATGTGTAAATATTGAATCCTGAGTTACACCACGTTGCCAACACAACTCCACATCACTCTCAAATTGACCGGGATTTGACGCCTGCAATAAAAACAAAATCAAAATTGACTATATCACTATTTCACTCATCATGATATGAACATTTATTTCGGGCTAAATAAAACAATCTTTTTCCACTTAATCTTGTATATGTAAAACTTACACGGACGATAATTCTTTCGCTGCCCTGGCTCACCACCGGAAAATTTCCGGAATGTGTGTGAGCATGCAAACCGACAACCAGCTGAAAGTATCGTTGTTCTGGATTTGGACGGCCTTTTTTACGCATATTATTGCTTGTTGTTTCGGAAAAGTGCAGACGGCCCACGGTTATTTTACTGACTTGACGATTTTGCAGATCAATAGGCACCGGATGAAATGGTTTCTTTGAACGATCCGATTGGCTTTGTTCAATGCGAATGGTTTGCGTGGGTGTTTCTAGCTTAACACCATAGAAATGTAAATGAAACGATTTGATTTTCTCGAGACCACTTTCCGTTCGCACAAATATAGCGGGCGCACCTTGTGCCTGAGCATGACATGTGATTTGAAAGTGATTCTTTTTTTGGCATACGAATGCATCGTCTGAATTAGAAAAATTGAACCCTTTGTCTGCATCGACTCTGTAGTGTGGCAGGGGCCTGTGAGGTAGATAAGCATTTAACATTGAATTATTTTCACGACTTGTTAATAAGGAAGGACAACAACAAGTGTTCACCATACAACCAACAGGTGTGAATACAAAAGAAATTAAATTCCAAAAGACAAGCAACTCACAATTCTTGTAAGCTTTGATCGCAGAGAATGTGCCAATTTTGTTGTTGAAACGGTGAGAAGCGAATGCATTGCATTGGAAACGAGTCATTGGAACCATTTTCAATGCCATTAGCTCCTTGCTGCCCTTGGCCTTGTGATTGTTGCTGCAAATTTGGTGATGAGTTCGATTCCACGATGCTGAAATTCGAGTAAAAGTTTATTTTAAATGCACAATGGGAAAATTTCTAGTGAAAAAAGTGTACATACCCTGGCATCATGATTGTTGTGGAAACGGGTGATGTTATGCTTGTACTACAACTACTAACATTACTGCACGCATCTACGGATGACGATTTGGAAGGTGGCGTCGCTGGTTCAATTAACGAGGACACGCACGACGGACTGAGCGCATCTGGCTCTGGCTTTATAGCCGGCAATATTACAGATGTTGATCGCTTGATCGGTATAACACTACCTATTGACTGTTGCTCATTGCTGTTTTCTAAAATACTTTGTGAATTGTAGTCATTCTGTTGTGCCATTGTGCTCATTGTTCCTGTCGCAAATAAAACCAAAGAGTTGTTTTTCAATACAGATTTTTTCCCTAAGACTTTCGATGGAATAATGAAGTTGGCTCACGTTTACGTGGGTTTAACAAATGTGGCATTTCGGCTGAATGAGATGTCGGCATCACTGCCGTTGTCATTTGAGATAAAACATGAGGATTGTATGAATTAACATTTGGGTGCGATGTAGCTGTTTGTAGTTGTTGGTGATTATTCTGACTCTGGTGACAATTCAGTCCATTTGACGGCATTTGAAACATTGTGTCGTTCATTAAACAACTGAAATCATCATCGGCATTCAATGCCAGCAAATTGTTGCCATCGTTACGATATACCTGGATAAATTGGATGATTGTTAGTTGAATTTTCAACTTGTTCTCTGATTTTTTTTTTTTTTTTGATTTTTTTTCATGTCGATTTCTTTGTGTATTTTTAGTCAAGAAGCGCTTTATTTGTCAAGTATTTATGTTGGTATGTGATTAAGCACAATATTAAACTTACATTATTCCGTCCCATGTTGATTGAGTGATGAGCTCCGAGACCAAGTAAAGATTGTGTCTGCAAAGTCCAGTTTTTGAAGATAAATATTCAATTGATCGAATTTTAAAATATTCCTCAAATAAATTGAGCATATTCCCTAGGATCTTACGTTTTGTTGCATCATCATATCGTTATTCTGCAACATCATGTGATTTGTGACTGAGTTGGGTAGAGTCATCGCGGTGGATGAGAGAAGAATATCTTCAGTTTTGTGAATTGACGATGTGGGATTGTTGGCATTGCCATTGATGCTGCCATTGTGGCAATCAACATTGTTTGGATCGTTCACATGCATGGTCTGATCAAGCTGATGTGGATTCGCGGGGTGTGAATTATTTGGATAGTGATGTTGATGATATGTAATTTGATTCAAATTATTTATCGCATGCAAATCGGTTGGACTGTACGGCGGTTCACTGCCTGAATCTGGTGGTGAATCAGGTAAAGTTCCTGAAACGATACAGATTTTGTTTGCATTTCATTTTTGTTACTCTTTTGTTCAGCGATTCAAATGTACAAAAATTAGTTGAAGTTATGAAAAAAGTCGTAGCAAAAAAAAAGAGCAAGAGTTTTAATGTAAAAATCGGACGAAACAAACCATGTGTCGGTGCATTTGTGGGAGCAACACTAGCTGATGATGTGCTTATCGTATGAGCTGGTGCTGTTGTGACTGTGGTTAGAGACAATGTAATCGCTGACGTGTTTCCATTGTTGCTAGACGTATTGATTGCTGGCAAATGTACGAATGATTCCAATTGTCCAAAATCAAGAGCCTCATTATCTATTCCACCCACAAAATCAGCGCGACCTAAACGGGCGTATCAACGAGAGAGAGAGAGAGAGAGAGAGAGAGAGAGAGAAAGGAAAAAAAAATACACATAAAATTTGAATCTATCAGTAGACCTTCGGCTGACTATTCAAAGCTGAATACAATAACAACACCAACAAAAAATAACGTAATAAAAAAACTAATTTTATAATTTCTTTTGAGTTGGTAATCATCGTTGGAACGATTAAATCGTTAATTACACCATAAACATGCGGTGAACGTTCTCGCGCACAGCTAATTTCCAAAATATTTTACGATTGAATGCTATGGTTTGATAACTATGTAGTCGTCAGTATTTAGGGATAATGAAAATAAAAAATCAAGATGATGAAAAAAAAAGCATGAAAAGTCTTGAAATTCATTTATCATGCATCACTTTTGTTTTTTATTGAATTTTCTGTGCCGTGGAGAAAAACTGACTTTTCATCATCATCATTATCGCCGAATGAGCCGGGTTCGATCGCATTCGAAATTCATGTCCTATTCATTTATGTAACAAACGTACCAACATATCGTTGCTAACGATACCATTGTAAATAAAATCATGAGCCATAGAACGTTTGACGAAGAATAGATGCATTAAACCGAATATAATTTATGAACTGTCGTTTTTTCCCTTCTATTCCCCACCTATCTCCTCTTTCACTTTCTCTATTTCTTTCTGCACAATTCATATACGAATTGCTGGATTTTTTCTTTTTTTTCTTCTAAAATTACACTTGGTAGTTTGAGGGAAAATGGTTTGAATGGCAAAGTCAGAATTTCAAGCGTCGCAATAGAAATTATCGTTCCCCTTTATGTGTGCTCTCCTTGTCATACTTTTGTCTTCGTCATCGATCAAACAACGAGTGTGTTTTGCGATTGCATAAACGTCGGTATGTTTTTTTTTTATCCATGTAGCATGAGTTAGGGGGTGGTTTTTACCCATGCTGTTGATCAATAAAGCAAGAACTTTATGCTCAATGGTTTCTCTTTTCTGTTCAATACTCGTGTCGAAGAATGTTTTTTCCATTCATTTTTGATCAGCTCAAGAATTTCAAACAAATGCCCAGTTGTCTTGTCCAGAAATCTTGAAAAAGTTCTCATTTCAAAATCGATTATGATCTAATTGGTTTATCTCACAAGGTGCACCGTTTAGTTCACTTCTATATCATTCCACCATATTTATCTGCTGAAGATGGCGTCAAATAAATTTGGTTTCGATTAAATAAAATTCATAATTAAGCTGATAATTGGAGCGAAAAAAGGCGAGCATGCACAGCATTGAATGTGTGTTGTATGATTTGTGTAGATGTTATTTTTTTTTTTGTTTCTCTTAGAGAAAAAAATGGCGCGGCTGAGCGAAATTGCATGTACAAAGCATAAAAATCATAAACAACAAATGTTACGACTAAACATTTAACCGACACGTTTGTAAGACACAAACGAAACTAAACAGAGAAAAAAATATCAGTGTTTTTCTCTTCTTCTTCAAATCGTTCACGCTAATTGATTTCAAACATGCAATCGATTGTTCGTTGCCTGAATTTTATTTTTCGATGATTTTTTTTTTATCAATTATTTTATCTTTATGTATCATTTGGAGCCGAAAAGCATTGTTTTTTTAAGGCTGTGCACACAACATTTGCATTTATTTTGCACTTGTGTTAACTAAAATTTTCGTTTTTTTGCTAATGATTTTTATTAATGAATTGCCCTTCAACGCTATTGCAGTAAACAAAATGTGAATGCATGGAGACACATGTATTTTTTCACTACTTCGAATAAGTGTAAAATTTGGATTTATGAACAACAGTGAGATGCATTTTTACAAATGAAATTGATTGTTTTTTTTTTTTTTTTTTTTGGATAGAGTTATCATTTTCAACTTTTTTCAATGGGAAATTATCATTTTTAAGACCGATGGTCTTTCTCTTACGAAAACACTTCTTTTTATATTTTTTGGTGGTATTTTCCTACTATTATTTATAGTAGCTGAAAAAATATGTCTAATTAAAACAATTTTTTGATGATTAATTAAAATATTCGATCAATCGTAAATGTTGATTTCAGCGGTTTTGCACCGAGATCGTCATTATTAACAAAATTGATACCAATGCGGTATTATTTTAAAATTTTTATCACCGTTTCAATCTCTTTTCTTTTGCTCCATGCAATTTTAATGTTCAAGGGGATCATTTTTGACAGTGGATTTTTCTGCAAATCTTTTCAGCTCGAGTTTCTTCAAATGTTAACCAAAAATTTGAACAAAAATCAAATACTGATGAAATGTTGAACAACAATAGCAACAACAACGGCAAAAAATGAATGTCGATTAAAAATGTGCCATTTCATTGGAAATTGTTGAAGATCAACGCTTGGGTTATCAGAAGATCTGATTTCTCTTGAAAATGTTGCTGCTTCAATTTCAGTCGAATGTGTGGAGAGAGAAAAAATCCGAAAGCATTATTTGCTCATTTCGTTCGTTAGCAGATCAGAATAAAGTAATTAGTTCCGATATCAGAAATGGACCGTGTTCTGAATTGTTTCCGAGAAACATTCTATAGTCTGTGTAGTGGGCTTGTATTTAAGCATAGCACCAAAGCATATAACTACTCGGGGAGTTGTCTAATTCGACGAAAGCGTGCAAATTCAATTCCAATAATTAACTATGATTGGTAAAATGATTCTGTATCGTACATTCTATCTATATTTCGTGCGACGTATTGCTTCTGCGAAAAATCGGTTGGCGAGCGGCATTGAAATTGAACGACAGGCAACATTACGTTTCTTTGCTTGGCTCTGCGTGCGCTGCATACGCAAATGCACTACAACGATATTCTCTTGTTTGTTTTTTTCTCTTCACTTTTGTTTATTTATCTTAGAGTTAAATTTTGACGTTTGTATAACATTTAATCATTTTCGATTTCATTCATTTTTATTGGAATCATTTTACTTTATTTTTCTGTATCGTTTGACTGGCTTTGCGTTTTTCCCTTTCAATAAAATGTAATGTTCAATGGATTTGGCAATGCAGTTTTAGTTCACGCATCATTATCACTTTCCATTTCTTTGGCTGCTGCTTTTGAACATCTATTATATCATTTTTTTTTTGTTGATTCTTCTTTGGCGGCATCATCATCATTCTACGGCTCGTGCATCCCATTCGATTCCAACATTGGCGCTGCCGTTTTTTTCTTTTTCTTTCTTTCTTTATTGCGCTCAATTCGATTCGATTTGATTTGATGTGTGTACGCGTTATGCTTAGACGATCAATTAATTTATTGGAAAAATTCTGTTAAAAGTGAGATGAGAGCGCAAATGGGCTCAGCAGTGCGTGAAATATTCGTGAAAGGGAAAACAATTTGCATAGGCACACGAACGGTCGAAAACAATTGGAAATCATAGACACTCGACGGTTTCGTGGAATTTGTGTGCAGCATATGCGCCGCTTGATTTAAACTCTAGGCATTCTGAAAGTCAGAGAGATAAAACCAAAAGTGCTTAGGTCATCTTCAACTCTTTCTTTGAAATCTTTTTTTTTATCCTTTCTCCCCTTGTTGATCTCCTTTTTCGGGTCATCGGTTGAATACCTCTCTTTTTTTTGAATTATGGGAGCAAATTGTCATTAAATTGTTTCACACATTTTGTGATTTATGAATGTTATTCAACGAAATGTCAATTTGAATTTGAAAAGAAGACGTCGTGCTCAATTCAAATTGCCATTTTAGCACCATTTGATGTTGAAGTTGATGATATTTGATGATCTTAAATATAGTTATCATTTTATCGGAGATGAATATCATCTCTTTTAAAACATATTGACATTTTGCTCGTTCAAATTGCCAATGACTATGTTGAAATTGTTGATCCAAAACTGTCTTTGACGTTGTTTGCATCCATAAATTATTTGATAATTCATTAATTTTTCACTTCTGAAGAAATCTCTTCTGTGTTTGGATGTGCAATCTTGTTCGCGAATTATCATTTACATGACTTGAATCAATCGGTTGTTGCCGTTTCGGCTTAAAGTGTCGTTCTGGAGTGGAGAACATGTTTCTGTGTTTCTGTTACATTAGTATGGTGTCCGTCCGAGGTGTTATGACCGCTACTCTCCAGAACTGAGTTTGAAAACATGTCGTTACGTAAGTGATAGAAATTCATTATTTCTTCTAAATTTTAAAATTGACGAGACAAAATCGTATTCAAAGTTCCTTCGTAACAGTTTTCTTCGGAAGAGTTGCGAAGGAACTCTTAGAAATTTGACGATTTTATCAAAAGTCCTCGTGCAAACGAAAAAGTTCACAATTTTGATTTTTTTTTCTCAACATATCTCAGTCTTTTCGAAATTAGCTCACTGCAAAAAAACTATGAAAAAAAAAACATTTGAAATGAATGTTCCAATGTTTACCTAATGATCGTGCATACTCCATGGTAATTTAGAGAGTGATATCAAATGGGGCACTCCCCAACGGTTAAAATTTGACTTCGTTTTCCCCTCGTAATAATAAGACGACGATAAGTGCACTTCCTCGTTTTACAGATGCAATTTTCGTTGGAATTAACTGATCATTTTTTTTGTTGTTGTATATACACAAAGCACTTCGTCACTATCCATCTGTTTTCATGTTTCAATTTAATCCAAGTTCAAATTAGATGGTTAATTGAGCACAAAAAACACGTTTATTTGAAGAAAAAAAGCAACTAAATCACCGATCGAATGAATTTCGGTCAATACAGAGATTTGCAAACAAAAATTGCACTTATATTTTGCTTAAATTGAAAACAAAATCATGGATTAGTTGTCTACAGAGAAAAAAAAAAACAGAATGTTATTCAATTGGAGTAACATCAATTTAATGGGTTTAGTTGATTGTTTTTGAATAGAAAAACAACAAAATCCAGAACAACGTTGTAATCAAAGCCAAAATTGATCGGCCAAAAAGTGAACCGAAAACAAGCAACCGCTTACGATAATAATGCTACGAATATCGTGTGCACACGAGAACTGAATTACTTTTCTTCAGTTTGTGTATATTAGTTTTTTTGTTTGTTTGTTGGTTGGCCGAGAGAGATAGTTTGTAGCTGTGTGCTGCGCAATGGTTTGGCCAAGGTGTATGTTCAAGTTGCTAATCATCGGCGGGAGGGGTGTGTTTTGGATGGTGTGCTATTTCTTTGCATTTCTATTCATACTCATAGTAACACTATATCTGTCGTCATTCTGTGCTGGCAAAAATGCTCAAAGTTCTTGAGACTCACATTTGGCTTGAACTGTCGCACTTTGACTTGATTTAAAACGCAGCTCTCTCGCATAAATTCGTTCCGTTTTATTTTCGCATGGCAAACAATACAAAAATTGTCGAAGGAAATTTGTGCGCGATAAATCGCAAGAGACATTGAAAATAGTTTTTTTTTTTCATACAAACTATACAATTGGATATAGACATGTTGTTGAATGTATTGTACACATACATACACGGCGGCGATGACACACACACGCAGATCACAAATAGATAAATGGCATCAAAACGCGACCCAAAATTACTATAAGGAAAAAAGGCTTTACTGCGCGCACTGTGAATTATATTTTCAACAACAATTTGCTATTTGCCGAAGAGTGGTTGGTGTTTAGCCAAGTTTGATCAATATTTTCCCCAACTTTTCCAAGCGGAATGTAGACAAAAACTAGTTAGGTGCACCGCTTTGCTCCGCGATCAACCTGCTCGCTTCGTGAGTTTGTGTGCCAAATGGACCTACACCGAACATTTGAACGAAATCGGTCGAAGCGTTCAGAATTATACGATAACGTGCCTGAAATTCAAAACAAATAGATCTAATAGCTCTACATTTCATGTAGTGCCGAAAAAATAGATGAACACACCGTGTGCAAATTAAAATGCCAACATTCGTCGGTAGGAACATTAACAAGATTGACGCTGATTGACCGAATAGGGAAAAAAACCTTTGCTGTCGCGTTCATTTTTTTTTTCTTTTCAAAACTCTTTCAAATAATATAACAAATAGTTTTCTTTTCGATTCGCATCGGATGCGTATCAAACATGTAATTTTGTGCGAACGCATGAATCGACAGATTTTATTATATTTTCAATTGCTTTTCAGGCTCATAAATGATCCTTTTTTCCCGCACTCGTATCGCAATCCAATTTTAATGAATTTCATTCTAGTTCTGAATAATATAAACCATCTATTTTTAAATGAATTCACTGGAATGAATTTGATAAATGAAGCAAAAAATGTCTATTTTCAAAGAAATTTACACGAAACCATCGCATGAAACGGCAACTTTTCTGTTGAATTGCTTCATTTTTCACCAATACTAATTATTTCCTAATAAAAATTTCGAATATCGAAACAATTTATGGTATCTACATAATGATGAGCCTTGAAATTAGCGTAAAAAGACCAAAATGATCAACTTACCGAATAGAGCAAGCACGGAATCATTGAGAAAATCCATAGTAGCTTTATCCATGCGTCAACGATGGGGTGAACTTGTTTTCCGATCTGTTCGCACTTGCGGTTAGTTGTTGTTGTCACTTCTTACTTGTTGTCGAGGGATGTATTGTTCAACAGGAAAACACTTTGAAATCAACTGATATTATGGCTAAAAATGCGCTCAATTGTGTTCACAATCTGGATATTACAAATCATTTTTTCAACTCGATGTTACGCCGACATATAATTTCCATCCAATAGTATGTTGTGTTTGGTTTGGTGTGACGGCATCGTCTAAATTCGGTACATTGTTGATTTCGTTGGGTGAATTTTCGTTTTTGCAGCAAGTGGAGCAATGCAGAGCGAGAAAGAGAAGAGAAAAAAGAAAACAAAAGATAAGAATTACAATGTAATTTCAGGGGTGATCGAATGATTCGAGAGCAATTTAAAAAGCATTAGCTTGAAGAGAGAGAACAAGAGCAAATGAAGCTAAACAGTTTTTTTAGAGCCCGATATAGCGTTTCATTTTTTTTATCATTTCGGCGAAATGATTTCGAATTGCGTTCTGTGTGTGTGTATGTGCTTTTTGCGTTCATGCGTCTCTTTGAATCATTTTGATGAGTTAATTAATGATTCTGATTGAATTATGAATGTTGAAACCGATTTCATTTTGATTAGCATGTGAAGGCGACAAGAACGCCGTGCAGAATCAATGTAATTATGGAACCGAAGTGGAGAGTGAGAGAGACACATACACGCAGAGCAACAAAATGCAGTTTCGCATAGGCCAAAGTCTCTGCTTTGTCTAGTTAGTGCAGACAATTTAGCACCATTTCATCAAATTGTGTGTGATCGGCCAATTAAAACCAAAATGAATTGTTTGACGCTTCGATTAGACAGAGTTGGTTCAGTGCCTTTTTTTTACGGAGCAAATATATTTGGAGGCGGTTACGAAAAGATGATGACCACATCAAGATCAAATTGTAGCCTTTGTCGTTTGGCCAAATGCACATGCCAACACATCGTAATTAAAATATAATGGGTTCATAATCGCGGATCTTACAAAAGATACTCGACACAGCCCAAAATTAAGCCCTGAATCGATCCAATCAACGTTCGATGTTTGGTGCGAAAAGAAGCAACAGCAATAAAAATAACGATGGAGAGAATGTCGATCGTCGCCAAATATCTATTAGCAATTTGATTGGGATAACTCTTTTGCTATTTTTCTGGCGAATTAAGATTCAATTTTGCCAATGTGTCAATAATTAGGCGTTGTCGCCTCGATCACCAAATGGGTGGAATGCAAATTGAACGTCATTTTTTTTGCGCTGCGTGTGTTGACGATCGTGTTAAACATGCTCTTGCACTTGATGTGATTGAACTCATCATCGTTTCAATGCGATTATTCTTGATATATAAACAAGTGCATACTTGAAATTTTCATCAATCAATTCACGTTTTCCATCTCTCTCTCTCTATCTCACGCGCGCCGGATATTTTGTGCCCACTTTTGTATACAATTTCATTTGTTTTTTTCGGAGTAGAAATTCATCTATAATTGCCATAATAACCAGATATTCCAATGTGCTGTTATATGCGATTTTAATTATTTATTCTCTGAACACTGAACACTGAGAACACAAACTGGACTGTTATCAGCACCGTATTTATTTAAATTGTGTTCTGTTATGAGTATTTAAATAATTGCTGTCGTTGATACCAGCGCACATCGATCTCTCTTTTTCTCTGATGGTCGAACATTGGCTTTGCCCATTTTTAACCGTATCGGACACAGTTCTTCTTCTTTCCCCTGTGCCGTGGAACATTCTTTTCATGAATGATTCGAACATTGATTGAAGTAATCAAATTAAGTACTGTTTTCTTGTATTGGAATCGTTAATCGCGTTCAGGCATTGTTTTTTTTAGTTCATGAAAATTTTCTATGTGTTTCGATCATGAAGTCAAGATAATATCACATTTTGAGACGTTTTCAATGTGAACCAACCTGTTTAGATGTTGTCACATCTTTGATAAATATGATTCTTTCACAGAGTTTATATTGACCGAGTCAATCATTTTTGAGTCAACTTTTGGCTGTTCTATCGACGTTTTTGTTTCTTTTCGTTAAATTCATTAAATTTTGAACATTGTTTGCTAAACTTCGCATTCAAGAAAGATGAGGGATCTTCCTATATTGATAGCTTTTTTCCGTTATTTAAGCCTTTTTGAAAAAGGCTTTTACATTTCGAAGAACCGAATCTTTACAGTTTGAGATTTTATGATTAATTGAAATAATAAAAATTTTGTAGTGAATTTGACGGGTAATATTGGAAATGAAAAACAAAATTGTGCCTGAGAAATTGCACAAATGTTATGTGTGATTCTATGAATTGGGATGAAAATTATAGAGTTGCTCACACAGCACAACTTGCAAGATTCAAATGAGAATACGAGGCTTTGGCTATTCAATCAAAATGGTATTGTAATTTTAATGCATGAGTCGCTCATATGGGTAATTATACGTTCAATTTTCGATATTCGTCTTTTGTTTCTCAAAAAAAAAATAAATTCCATTCGTTTTCGGCTACAAACGATTTTTTCTTTTATCTTCGCAGTGTAATATGTTGAATAGGGTGGATCGATTTTTAAGATCAAATATGACCATACTTGGGAAGTATCTTAATCGAAAGTGAGACTCAATACAAGCAATTTTTGTTCCACAATTAATAGCAGGCCCGGGTAGAGTTCATTCGTTTTTTCGTTCGTAGGTTCGTAACAAAGTCAATGAAACATACACTACTCTTAATCTCACCCATAGAAATGTCTTTATTTAAATTGTCTCAGTATAAAGAAAAAATTAATTTCTAAGGTGTTTTCATGCATACGACCTACAAACGAACGAACGAGCGCTCGTTGACCACTCTAGGCCCGGAACGATTTTGGGTGTTTGGAAAATGCAATTTTTTGATCTCCCAAAAATCTGGGGAGTTGGCTGTTCATTACTTTTTGGCGGTCAAGATATCTAGGGGCTTCTATGTCGGTTTGGCATTCGAATTTTTATTCACAAATTCGCGCTCAGTGCCATGCATTCGCAACGCTGCCATATGATTTCTATGTAAACATTCGCATTCGTATGGCAGTCGTATTTCGCTGTTCCCGAACGTTCTCACGAATGCGAGTGCGAATGTTTACATAGAAATCATACGGCAGCGTTGCGAATGCATGCCCAAACACGAATGAACGAATGAATTATGCAGTCACAAGTTTGTTGTCATAGCCGCATTCGTCGCATTCGCAAACATTCGAATTTTTGTTCTGAAATGCGAATGCATTCGCAGCATTCGCGAGAGATAAATCCTTTTAGCAAGATACTGTGGAATGACTAGAATTTCAGGAAAATTTCATTTTAAGCCATTCTGCTCTATCAAGATCGTCAAAAAGTAATTCCCTAGATTTTTGAGAGAGCAAAAAACAGCTTTTCCCAAACACAAAAAATCGTCACGAGCCTGATATTAGACTCAAATGGAACAAAAGTAGCTTGTATTGACACCCTCTTTCGATTAAGCTACTTCCCTGGTATGGTCATATATAAACGGGCGTCTCGCAATAGACTGAATACATTCTGACCGACGAGTTTTTCGGAACTCCCCGTACTATCCATTAATCCATGGTCATATATAATTTTAAAAATCGATCCATGCTAGTAAAGATTATTTCTGCAATGTCGCTTCTATTTTCATCAACACATGTAAATGTGATTATTTTCTATTCATAGAAATAAAAAAATTAAATCGATAAATAGGAACACCTAAAACGCTATGTGGCAAAACACAAGAAAATCAGCTGTTAAATCTGAAACTGCTGAATGTGACTCGGAATTTAATTTCAACGATGGTAATAAAAGTGTTTCAATTGAGTTGAAAATAATTAATTAGGACACATTCCTGTTCACATTGGATTAGAGCCTAGGGGCATTTCTCACGCAAAAAATTGAAACGAATGTGCAAGAATTTAAGATATTTCTTCTTTCCCATTGAAATGGTATAAAAATGTATGAAATTGTCTGGAATTGTCAAATTTAATATGAACCAAATTACTACATTCCAGTCAATTCTAAAACATTTTGGTGAATTCACTGCAATTTCATAAATTCAGTTCTGTTATAACTTGCTATAGCAAGTACAAATCTTAAGTACGTACCTAAGCTTAAGTATAAAGATTGTCATCCTTAAGTACGTACTTAAAATACTTAACATACTTAACGTACTTACGTATCAAGCTTAAGTACGTACTTAAGGTTAAGTATGCTAAGTATTACGTACTTAAGCTTCATACTGCGAACGTATTTCACACATTCAGTGTAAATGTGTATCCATTTACCCGAATTGATAGAAATGGAAGAAATTGTTCAATATTTATTGGAATGGTTCCATTTTTTTAAGTGAGAAATGCCCCTAGATTAGAGCTAGTTTATTGCATCAAAGAAAACGAGTAAATCCTGTGTTGTAAAATAGTCGTGTGTTGCTGTGCGGATAAAAAAAAACGGCCAAAGTTTTGATTGAATTAGTGAATGTGTTCGATCATTTCTTTGATTTAAGACAATTTAAATTGGACACCACGCATGGATGGTTTTGTCTAATGATTTTCGAAGGCTCTTGCTAATCAAATCGAAAATGAAAACTAAACACGGAACTCTATGGGGATGATTGAAAGACATCGAATTTGCTTAAAAAAGAAATGTAGTAATTGGATTTAGATCGTGTAATAATCTAATATCGACCTATCTATCTAATTCGGATATTAATTTTAGGTAAAATGTCTGTTAATTTGCTATATCGGTCAAGTGGATTGGTTTACATCTTCTTCTCACTTTGAATTTTTCTCTCATTTTTTATGGATCATCTTTGGCTGGATAAATACTCAGAGAAAAAGAGACCGCAAAATAAAAATGGCTATTTATTTTGTAATACACACAATCATGGGAAGAAAAAAAAAAGAATGTATAAATGGCAGCCACTAGAAATGTGATTCTTCAGCCTAAGAGTCTGAGTCATGGAAATGATATGTATGGGTTTCTGTGTTATGGCTTTCAGCTAATGTACAATAATCGTTCGTTCGCAATCATGTTAGAAAAATACTAATTGTGAAGACCGGTTCAAGCGATCTGAAATATCAAAGTGTTGAGGAAAAATACACAAGTGACGGCGTCGACGGCAGAACTTTAGCAGTATCAACAGTAACATGAATGCTGAGACGTATGCAAGTGTATTAATCAATTTGAAGAGTTGACACTAGCCGTTTAAATGCTTGAAGCACGAGAAAATCAGATGGAAGAAGCAAATCGATGAAATAAAAACATAACACGAATATATCAATACGAAAAGGTAAAATGAGATAGAGTGAACAACATATACATCGAACACATAAACACACAGAAGGCCGCACATGGCGACATATATTACATGTATACACATGTACATGTACATATATACAGCTCAAAGACCATGGCTTAAAACAGAAGTCGAATTCTTCTGCATTAGCAACGGCAACAACAATAACAACAACAACAACAAAATGTTGTTCTCTTCATTGACATCTAACTTTCTTTTTCTTCTTTTGATGGAATTGTCTAACTGATTTTTTTCGAATGTATGCTTTTTTCCCTTTGCTTAAAAGAACAGAATTCCTGAAATATACATATATGTGTGACTTGATTTCGCCACAAATGCAATACATTGCAAGCTGACAGATTCAAGCAATTTCAGTGCATTGCAAGCGATCAATCTGACAATTTTGTTTCTTCCACAAAATGCAATAGCGCTGAATTGATTTGTCTCGATGTTTGTTACATCGCTGCTGTTGTTGCTTCTGCTGCTGCTTTTTTTATTTTAAATTCACTTGAGAAAATTTATGCGAAATGCTAAACAAAACAAAAAAAAAAACAGCGGCGCACTTATCCGTTACATAACACTAAGAATGCACATTGTTTCACCAACAATAGGTTGTGATCGGGAGATGTTTTGTGTCGTGTGCTTTTTTTTCCTCCAAATTTTATTTCTTTCTTTTGTTTGTGTTCGGGCGCCAAAAATCCAGCCCAAGCCTGTTGATTCCACTTTTGTTTTCGTCGACAACTGACAGGATTGGCCGAAAAAAAACGCTGATTTTCTTATGGCACAATTCCGTTGAAAATCTCACACACACACACACACACACACACAAATATCGCTCGTGCAAAACTCCCGATCAAAAACAACAAACAACATAAAATAATTGTGATGTGAAAAATGAACACAACTCTTTCGTTCTTTACTGCAATTTCATTTGAATTTGATTAACACATAGCTCACTGCATTCACTGAAACTTGTTGTTGTTGTTGTCGTTATTGTTGCTGTTTAGATAAAATGTATATTGAAAAATATTTTTTCATTACAAATGTTGAAAATCAGTCAGTTAACGCATTTAGCATTTTATCATTTATTTGCGATAATACCACAAAAAAATGTATATTATTTTTTTACATCCAATATTCTGTGCGAAGAACACACGATTGTGATCCAGGGCACTCAATTATAATTATAGTTACATTTGATTTGTTTGTATGTTTTTTTTTTTTTGGTTCATTTTATCTCTTCAATTTCGTTGCTTTAAACTTTGACACACTCGATACATAGAAAAACGAAGTTATACTCGATGATTTCGTACAAAACAAAATTATAAAACAAGTTTGAGCTTGATGTAGAAGGAATGAAAAATATTGCGTTTTACACTGAATACACACGTTGAACACTTGATGCACAACAACAGCATGGGATTGCACATACTGTACAGTTTCTCAATTTCAAAATGCTGTTCCAAATAAAGGCACTTCTCGACAGCAGATGAACGAAAAAAAAAAACAAACAAACAACCGACCAGCCAAAATACGTCTAGGATTCGATCAATTTCTATGCTTCCATTGTGTTGTCAATTTGCAGCGACAGATAGCAACAACCATAACAACGATATCCGAACAGCGAAAAAAAAATCACCTTACTTTAGCGCTTAATAAACACACCGTTTTTTACACAAAACTTTTACGAAAAAAAAGACAGACTCTTTGCAACTTTGTTTAACAGCATAATAAAAACCGATCTTTTTATTCCTTCAACTCTTTCAATTTGTGGAACAAAGATTCAAAATGAATTTACTCGGTATTTGTTGTTTTTTATTTTCGCTTCTCTCGCGCGATGATGTTGTTGTTCTTATTCGTGTATCGTTTTGTTCAGTTCGGATGATATGTGTGGCGATACCACTCGGGAGTGCTATTGTTGTTGTTTGTTTCGTGTGCTGTATCGTTGTTTTGGAATTTTCAATTACAAATACGAGTGAGAGAGCGAGAGAGAGAGAGATCGCGAAATGAAAAGCAAAAAAAAATATAACCAATTTTATTTAATGTTGTTATTACCTAGTTCTTACGCGCAAACTGAACAATTTTTCTTTCTTTCTTTGCTGTTGTTATGAGAGAAGACGAGAAATGGAGAAAAACAGCACACAACAGTAACACTGCTACATATTTAAGATTAATTTGCACTGGACTAATGCTGCTGATTTGATTTGATGCTACTACTACTCCGCGCGTATCGACCACACTATGAACGAAATGAATATGGACGAAGAGAAAAAAAAATATAATGCTGGCCGCTCGATCCGACGGTCGGTCGCTCGCTCACTCGCTCGCACGCGCGATCATGATTTGCGGTGTAGATCGCACATTTATTTGTTTGTTTTTTTCCCCTACGTTCTTTCGGAACACACTCACCGTTCGGGACAGTGAGAGCGCAAAACTGACAAACAACCAGAGTGTGTTGTGTATACGCAAATGGGTGCGTGTGTATGTGTGTTGTGTGCTGGTGAGCGAACAGCAGGTTTTGTATGGTTGAGTACATTAATACTGGTTTTACAGAATATCAATGAATAAAAGACATGGCATTTCAACAGCATGACGATCTATGATCACTGTACTATACAAACAAAACACACATCACATGCATAGAATCCAAACGATCTGTATAGGTGGATTGAATGAATATGTGGCGAAATGTCTCATTACTTTTTTTTCCAACATCAAATATATATACTAATTATCGTGAGTATGTGTTTTGATCCAACGTCCAACATTGCTTGCTCTCTCTATCTCTCTCTGTCTCTCTCTGTCTCTCTCTCTCACTCTCCCTCTCCATCTCGCTCTCGCTTTATCTAACAATACCGAATAAATCACGGCTACATCGGCGCATTCGTATTTTGTCTTAATATAATAAATATGCATAGGAAAAAAACACCCGTAAACAGATACAATAGCTAAAAAGCCATTGCAGATGCAAATAACAATACAGCACACAGCACACAGCACACACCACAACACACAACAAAACGCATTTTCAACTGTATTACTGATTACAGCTAAGCCGAAACAATCGCATCGCAACCAAACCGTACAGATTTGTTCGAGCTATTTGTGGCTCATTAAAGCTTCCAGCTCATCATCTCGAATATCAATTGCACGGGGCACAGACAACGACGTGAAAACCGCTCAATATTAAAATAATAGACAGCTCAACTACTCAAGAGAGAAAAAAAAAACAAACGATGGAACAATGGGCTAACAATTGTAGTAATCAACACTTCGAAAGAAAGAAATCATCCAAAACACTTTCGGAGAAATGAAATCGTGCAGTTTACATTGACGATTCCAACTTTAAATTGGAATTTGATTTTTGCGTAGCTTTTTTTTTTATATCATAAACCATACCGATTATGCACTTGAAATAATTCTCTTGCCTTGAAGATGTGAAACGAATAAATCACATTTGATTTCTTCAAAGGCTCATAAACTTGAAATTTTGCAAACCGATTCCTTTTCTTATCATGAATTCAAAATGATATTGTTTTGTCGGTATGATTTGGACGGGAAGAGGAACATAAGAGCATTCATTAGTTTATTACGTTGATAAAGTATGATGAATACATGTTTGTAATGAATAAATTCTTCGAAATGAAAAATATTATCATTTTTGCATGAAAATCAAATTGCGGAATGATACGTATACCATTCCCTGTTCTTAATTTGACATGGAATTGCCGTTGCCCGGGTTCAAACTGTCTACAACAACTACAAAATTATGAATCGTATATTATCGTGTATGTGGCTAAGAAGGCATAGGCCGAGACTATTCTATGCGACACAAGGTTTACAACAAGCCGATTGTCACCACACAATACAGATTTATTATTTGTTTGCCTCTCTATCGCTCAGTCTCGCTCAGTCTTGCCCTGGCCCTTGTTTTTCGTCGTCGTCATCGTCGTCATCGTCGTTACTTATTTACTTGATCACGTCGCATACATACTATTAATTCTATTGCACTTGGATTAATTTACGTCAATTTGATTGGCCTGTATCGCGTAACAATTCCTGAAAAAAATGATGTCCCATTCTATTATTATGTCTAATTTCGTTAAGAAGAGCAGAGGAATGCGATTTTCTCTTTGTCAATATGCGATGGCTTAATCAACGACACATAACAACACACAACAATGAAAACAGGAACTATCTGCATGTGTATATGTGTATCTTCACGAGGAGTCGGCGCGCGATTTTCAGTCTTTCTGTTTGCCTGTTTTGGTTTCTTTTCGGGTTTCATAATTACGTCGGAAATGAGATGAGTCATCATATCGATCCGGTTGACTTTCTTGTGCGAATATGCGATACTTGGTGCTTATATTTTTTAATTTTATTTTATTTTTTTTTGTTCATAATGGTAAAAAAAAAAACAGGATAAATCCCAATTACATTTTTCACCTAGTGGTTTGATCATGATTTGTGTTGTTTGATGATGATTTATTAATAAATTAAAAAAATGTCTTCAGACCACATGACTCATAGAAACCTGTTATCATCTCCTTTTTACTCGGTCTTCTACTCGGATATATTGGACCACCTATGTAATAGTTCCAATCCATGGATGCTCATATGATCGATTTGACAATGGTATCGATACCATTGTTAGAAATGTTTCAATTGTCCGTTCCATGGATTTGATCGCGACCTTTTTTTCACACAGTGTACCACTGTTTTGATCTCTTGTATTGTTTAGTATATGGCGAATCAATATATAATAACCTATTTTAACGTATTCTCATCCATTTTTCTCGGTTTTGAGCATTGTAATCAAAGAAACGATTAAAAACATATTATTTTTCCCAAAATAAATAACAATCATAGGAAAAAAATCGTTATTAAGAATAGAGTGCATTTGTTGAGCTTGATTCATTTGCCGAACGACTAAAATTACATTTCGCTGATTTGTGAATTAGTATCATTTATATGAATTTATACGATTATCTATAGAAAGTACGAGACAAGAGACAAGAAACAAGAAACAATGCACGCCCGCTCACTTGTTCTCTGTCAAAGCGCGCTTTGCTTATCGCTTCCAGTCACATGCATATACATAAATGTATATATCTCGAAGAGTCAAGAGACTATATCATTCCTATTATTGTAGCCAGCATTGACTATTTTGAGCTGTCACTTATTTTGTACGACCATTTATTTTACTTGATTCGATCGTTTTAACGTACGATTTTATTAAATCGTGTAATATGGAGCCCGACTGTAAAAAAGCAGAAGAAGAATTACTGTCAACGGCAACATTTTGATTTGGATTGCAGTAACTATAGTGTACATGTACACATTCTATGTACATGACGAGGCCCATCTTACTATTTTACGAATTGCGTATTGAGAACAGGGGGCCTTTTGTGTTCAATTTCACTTAGTTTACGCGTTTTCATAAATTGGAGAATGAGCCGCGTCACTTCCATTCATTCAAATTAAATCAGCTCACCAAATCAATGGGATCTAGTTTCAAAGAAAACAATTAGGGTGTGTTAGTCACACATTTTGGTTATTGAATTTTATCATTTGGCACAAATATAGGACATAAATGGACTGCTCATATGTAATAAGCTTGAAAACGTTTTTGAAAAGACGTGGGTTCAACTGTAGATTAAATAGACGTTACCGACATATTTTCATACGGCTGGATGCTGACAATGGAAAATTTCCCCGATTCATACCTCTTCCTGACCGATTCCAAGTATACTCAACTGATTCTCAAAATAAATGCATCATTTTAAATCATATCACAAATTTAATGTTGTTAATTAAAAACGAACAACTTCGGATAAAAACAGGCGCAGGAAGTACTTGAAATTTGAGCTGGATATTGCGAAATTCCGAATAAACTTACGGTACAATCGCACAAAGAATGAATAGCAACTCATTTTTTGTTTCGTCGTAAATATGTTGGTTTCGTTTTAAATAATGTTAAAACGTATGAAAAGATTGATTACAGATGACCGCTGGTAGATTTATGTATGAGAATCAATGCTATTATCCATTTTAACAAGAAAAATATCACACATCAAACTGGTTCTGCGTTACTTGTTTCGATAAACATTTTTTTTTTTTTCGTGAGTTAGAATATGGATTAAAGCAACATTCGATTGCAGCAGAATCATTAGGCGGAAAATTTAAACTTCCTCTTTTTTTGTATTATTATTATGAAAACCGATATCAAACTAAATGTGTCAATGAAACAATAAAATAGATTTTTTTTTAAATGTCGACGCAATTTCTTGGAATACACATTCAAAATATGATAACATGAGTCTGTTTGATGAATCGGATTGCATTGACGTAAATGAGATGAGCTATGATGGTTTTCAGATAAAAATTAGCGTCGAAAAATGGGTGGTTTATTCAACCGTACACTCATCATGTGGACAAATTCATTGTCACATTCCCTCATGAAAAATGTCGACATCTTATCTAAAATAAAACTGTCACCGTTTTTAGAGAAAAAAGAAGATTCAAACCATTTATTTAATACTTTTATCATGATGTTGATGTTTTGAAAAACTTTTGTATCTCACTGATATTTGACGTTTGTTAACATTTTTAAAATAGGTTTTGTAGAAATAATATTCAAAAATGTTATTTTTTCCAACTGTTTTCTTTTTGAAACGAAACTAAAATCGACAAAAAAAAAATCGTATTCATTCAAAAGCCCAGGAACTGTCAGTAAATGTTCTAAATCGATATTTGTTCATAGTCGAGAAACCTTTAAAATTAGACACACGCACGCTCCTAGTCAATCGGTGTATTATCGTTTCATTCCAACATTTCGAACGAATAAAATACAATCTTAAAGTGATTCTGGCTGCGATGACTGGTTGCACGGCTGGTGGTTGTGCTGAGATATCCGCAGATTATTTTAAAGTCACACTTCTCGAAAACTAGTTTATATATCGCTTGAGCCTTTATGGTGTCGATGGATGCAATTTTTTTTCCATCTCGGTGTTAATACGCGCCTGATCGATGCTCGACACTGTTGGTAATCCATGCGGCCACTCTAACAAATCCGATTCATTTTGCATTATCATATCAGCCTCGGCTAAAAATAGAAAAATACAATTTAATATCACAAAACAGCGATTGCACTACGTTTAGAAATCAAATCAACAAACCTCTAATTCGATACAATTTACTTCCGTACGCCAAATCAGCATAATATGCAAGTGCAAACGTTAATGGTACCACAGCCATCAAATTGGTTGTTCGTTTTGTAACTTTATATCTAAAAATCAGAGCGTAAGGTGAATGACCATTAAATTCAATGCAAATTATTCATGATTTTTCTAGGTACCTGTAAAGCAATCCCACTAAAGACACATTATAAAATGCTCCAAGCCAATAAAAAAGTTCGCGATTCTTGGAAATCTCGAGGGCTCGCTCACGTTCTTTTATTTGATAATGCATTTGAATCCAACGTTCCATCTAGTCAAAGGAGATAACTAGACTATAGTCAAATTGAGCTTTAATATTTCTTATCACAATCCTTTTGCTCACCTTAATTCTATTCATTTCGGAAATGTGTTCCTGATTTTTTTGGTTCGATTTTGTATTGCCCATTCTTTCTATCTATGGTAAATGATATCGAATTCCTAAGTTTCAAAAGCTTTTTCAAACTAATCCCTTTATTTTTCTTCGAATCGCTTGTTTTTCTTCATAAAAAATTCCGATTTCTGTGAAAAAAAGAAGTAAAATTGTTGTTTTTATTGTCTTTTGTACCAAACAAAAACAGTGAAATTTATTGACAGTTCTGAGAAACTAACAGAATGAAATGTCATCATGAGAATACACTGGTTGGCATAAGAGTTCGTAATGCGCATGTGAACATTTGAGAAGTGTCTTCAACTTGTCAGAGGTAGCCATATAAATTTCCATAGCAAATCCGATTGCAAAGTGATTCGAATGAGAGATAATCATATTCTGCGAAAAAATTGATGCTTTTAATATTTTTTTTTTTTTGCCAAATGTTTATCGGATGCAGCGATCAATGTGGATTTTGGATTGAAATTTGTGTGTGTCATGGTCTAAATCGAAGAGAAAATCCGAATGATTCATGGCAGTTCAATTATGGAATTCCGATGAAGTTTGAGTTCTACAAATTGGAATTTTCTCTTTCGTTCTCTTCTTGTGAACTAGCCAATCCAACTGTATATGGGAATATATTAAATTGACATGTTCAGTCGACATGCGCGTAGCGTAAATCACCCTCCAGAAATGGTGTGTGTACGCCAAGTCAACAATTAGGCCACAAAAGCACAAACGTTATGCTCTTCCATGGCATATTGTGTGCCATACATATAGAGTGTATGATAGTAGCAGGATTCGATTGATTGCATGTGCTTCTTATGCTGCATTCCGGTGAATCACTCTTGTTTCCCTTCACTACCGCACGCCTATAGTGTGTGTGTATCTTTCAAATATTGAACGATAGTAGCGCAATGCTTTACCGCGGATCTTCTTTCAGTAAGTCTTTCGACTCATTTTCCAAGAGTCTGTATGGCTCACTCTCTCTCTCTCCCTCTCGCGATTTGATACACGTTATCGAAAGCCAATATTTTGTTGACCATTTAATTTTTGTATTTGCTCTGTTTCTTTGCTTTTTTTGCTTTTGTGACCGAGCAAAAAAGAGAAAAAAAAACGCAATGCGGTGTGGAGATAGTTCCGTGTAAACTGTAGATTCCATTGGAAATAGACGTTCGTATTTTCATACGGCTAGATGCTGACAATGAAAAATGGATAAATGAAAGCGCGGTTTTCCTATATTTATGGTCCTGTCTATTGCTCTCATCTCACTGTGTTGCGCGCGAAGCAGACAATATTGCGGGTTGGCTCACACATACACACAGACACACACATGCTCAACGCTTTCGCGCACATACCTCATGTTCTCACATATACACACACATGCTGAATGCGAAACCGTGTGCACACCATCCAAAGCACCCAAACACTCACACTTATCCAAAAATCGGCCAGCATCCTTGCTGGTAATTATACCAACATAATACGGACGCAATCGCTTTTCGTGTCTCCATTTCCCGAATACTTTTGTCTTCGTATGATGACGTCCGACGCAACACACGACACATTTTGATACAGTTTATAGCAGCCGTACTGTGTGTGGCGCTTTTTTTCCTTTTATTTTCTACTTCGCTCCATATCATCTCATCTCATTTCGGTTTTGCAATTTCGCTTAAATAAATATTATACACTGCAAATCGAAATACTTTGCTGTTCGTACGCGTGCCGTTGTGTGTTTCGCTATCTCAGCCTTTTGTGTGTGTTTCCAAAGGAAAGAGGAATAAAAAAAATAAATCCAGAAAAACTTACACCAAAAGTGTGTGAGAGAGAGAGAGAGAGAAAGAGAAAAAGAGACGAAAAATTGCGAGAAGAAAAGATCTTTGGAACCAATAATTTTTCTTGGAGATCATTTGAAAATTTTACTAAAGAAAAGAATTGAAAAAGTGTTTTGTGAATCTTCGATATTGGTGTTTGATTGTTAGTTTTTGATATGGTAGAGAAAAAAAAATACATTTCCAAAATCTTACAAGTGATTTACATTTAATTGGTGAAATATTGTGAAACATAACACAAAACGAGACTGGATTTGAACATAATTTTATTCGTGTTGAGAACACAAAAAACAACGCCGTACAAAAATTGATTCGAAGGAATTGCAAAAAGTCATTTCAAATTGGATATTCCATCATTGATTGTTGAATTGAGAGATCACATCAAATTATCGAAAGAGAGATAGAGAAAGAAGCCAAAAATGCAGAAATTATGATTTGAACCATTATTCCATATCAAATGCATGGAACAACAACGACTTTTGTCTTTGTTGTTTGTGAGTATAGTAAGCCATTTGGTTATTACGAATCCGTCGAGAGTGAAAGCTGCTGCTGCTACTGAGTGAGAGCAAACGAACGCACGAAAGGGCCACACAATAAGAAAGTGAGTGAGTAAGATGTTGAAAATTTTTGGTGTGCAAGTGTTATACAGAAAAGTCACAGAGTTACTTGATGATGGCGTATCCTTTTTCTGGTTCTGGTTCGTATGAAGAAAACCTGAACGAAATCAATCATTGCCAACGTCAAATTCGGTCATGTTTTTCTGCAATATTATATGAAATGGCAAGCTGGCCAAATAATATTTCACCCGTCCGACAGCATCACGAGAGAGAGAGAGAGAGAGAGAGAGGGGAGAGCGAGAGAGGGGAGAGAGAGAGAGTAGGGAAAAAATGTGAAGCTGTTACTTTATGATTGTGGAAAAATCTCTTATTAATTGTATTGAAGTGGTTGTGTAAGTAAAACGAACGAAGGCAAGAACAAAACGACAACAACAGCACAACGAACCAGCCAATCAATCGTTCTCTTTGATATGATGAAATAATGTTGTCGCAATCGAAAACTGATGCTGATGATGGTTGTCAGCGAAGGAAAGTTCAGCCCTAAAATTCAATTAAACACCACGATTCAAAGTTGATATGGTTTCAAGGATGTTTTAAAAATACAAATCAATGTCTTTTCATGTAAATTCACAATTGAATTAGCTGAACCGCCATGCATGTTTTCACATACTCACAGAGCGACAACACAATATCAAATGTCGATGGGGGGGAAAGATTGAGAGAAAATTCGAGTGAGAAAGAGATAAAAAGATATAAAAGAAAGGATGAGAGCAGTAGAGAGTCGGTTGGGCAACAAAAGTTCAGTTGCTTTATTTCCTGTTTTCATTTGACAGTGGTGCGAAAAACACCAATGTGCATCTGCTTGTTGTATTCGAAACACTCGAATGTGATTACCTATATCACAGAGAGCATCATTCTTCCTCGGTAGCAACGTACCATAACTTCTATATGTAGAACGGGAAAAGAGGGATAGAGTGTGTGTGTGTGTGTGTGTATGTGTTTGTGTGCAAAGCTTTCCATCCATTCCCTACCCTTCGTATTTCGCATGTAGTCCCGCATGCGATGAAAACCATCGAACGAACAAGCGAGTAAACTCTGAAAAGAGAGAGAGAGAGAGAGAGAACTGAAAAACGTCAGTGCCGAATAACCGAATTGCGCTTGCCCCTTCATCATACATTTATCCCATCAGTTGCACTAATTGCAATCCATTCAAGTTGAATGTCTATTTATAGATCATCATTTAAATACAGCATCAATTTTCTAAAAAAAAAAACCTCTATATATACATATATACATAGCATACCGTAGCTCATATACACGTTAGAGCACTTTCGTCATTCCGTTTGGATAAATTTGTACGTACGCGCGCGGACAAGGGCCAAATCCGACGTCAGTAGAATACAATGACACACAAAACATGCGAGAGGAGGTGATTGGGGATGGAATGAACCAGTATCCCAAAAATGAAAAACACAGTTTTATTCGCTTGTTGACTTGTCATCCGAACATTTTCAATCTTGAATACACAAAATTGTGGAAGTGTTCCATGAATTGTGTGTGTGTGTGTGTGTGTGTGTGTCTCACTTTTTTTCTATTCTATTGCCTCGAACAATTTTGTATTGTGGTTTAGAAACTTTAGTCAAACCATAAACACACTTGAAGAAAACGAATCAAGTCTGGTCAACTCTACTAATTGTATTGACACTTTATGAATTGCAATAGCGTATTTTTGGTTGTTGTTGTTGATTTTTTATTTGTTCATCGAATTGTTCCTCTGACGTCTTGCGACACTTAAAAGCGATCCGGAGTAACTGGAAAAATAATTGCTGAAAAAAGAAAATTTTCATGAAGTAGATTGTTTCTTCAGTCATTTTTTGCGGTATTCCTTGAATGTGGTGCATTCAGATTGAACTTGTTTTTGTTTCCACGGAAACACAATGTGAACGCGGGCGAAATTATTAAGTGCTTAAGACCTGAAGACGTTTTATAATCCTCTCGCTTAAGCTTAGCATCTGAATTGTGCTGATAACATTTTCAATGGTCTAATTGAGAACGTTGAAGAATAACATAAGCACCATATTGAAAATTCATTAATTAATAAACTATTTTACATGTGTATGTGTTGTGCAAAAGCGCCACAAAGACAGCTAAAGTCATTGCCAAGTTGCAATTATTGTTTCTTGTGATTTCCAATGCAAAACAACTAACCGAATATAAATACATTCTCATTTATTTTGCTCAATTTCAGGTTTTGAAGAGATTTGCCTCGACGACGACGACTACGCTACACTTAAGAATTTGGTTGTTGAAGAATGGCGCTGGTCTAATAACATGGAAACGAAACATACACACCTCAAATTCTGAATAGCACACACGAAAAATTAAAACGATGATAGAAAACGATCAGCAACCAATTGAGAATAATCGCAACAGTTACTAGCACATCAACTGTATATATAATATATAGATATATCCAAAAGTGGGGGCTCGGTATCGTCAAGGATTTTTGTTGTTGTTGTTGTTGTTGTTATGGAACGAATATTCTAAAAAAGTATCACTCGATTTATACACTTTTGCACGGATGGAAAATTCGCAGTGAGCCCCCACCTCACTATTTCGCTATGATGTGCCAATCAATCAACGTAACGTGAAAATTATAAGCACAAAGCCCAATTAAACCCGTTCATATAATATAACAGTGAAAAGAATTTTCGAGTGCAAACGCATTATTCACATCTGCCAAAGAGAGAGAGAGAGAGAGAGAGAGAGAGAGAGAGAGAGAGAAAGAGAGAGAGAGAGTGAGAAAGAGGGAGGAAGACACAGAGAGGGTCCACAAAGCAACGTGTCGATTCGGGGTGGATTCGCACAGCAATTGAAATTTTTATTTGTGATGCAGTGAAAGTGGAAATTGGCTTATGACAGAGGTTTTTCATAGAGGCCTGAGCATGTCGCCACCACTCTTTCGTAAATAAAGAATGAAGAAGCAAAATGTTCGTACGATCTCATTAATCGTGTGCACATTCACTTATCTTCTTGTCGGGGCTGCCGTATTTGATGCACTGGAATCCGAAACAGAGAAAAAACGATGGCACGCATTAAGTAGTAAGCAGACATTATCCACCTAGACAATTTTGCGAGTGCAACATTTTCTAATTCGTTGATTTGTTTCTATTTTTTTTTTTTTTGTGTGCAGCAATCGAAGCAATGATCATGAAAAAATATAACATAAGCGCTGAAGATTTCAAAGTTATGGAAACGGTCATATTGAAATCGGAACCGCATAAAGCCGGTTAGTAATGGACTTTATTTATTGTTTACGTTCGAAACGTCAAACTCACGTTTGCTATACGCTTTGTGAGTATTTGCTAATCGGTTTAAGTATCGAGAGGAGAAAACAAAGAAGGGTTCAAATATTAGGAAAGAAACACTTTTTAATTTTTATCCATTAATTTGAATATTCAACAGTTTAATATCCCAAAAAATGCATCACAAAAATTGAAACAAATTCAAAAAAATCTTTTGTCTAGAATTTTAATATTTTTTCCTGTTTCCATGAAACAAAGTGTGTTATCATTCTGTGTAAGATTAATGTACTTGTACATTCTTACGAATTTAATTATTTGTGTCCTTTGTAAATTTATAGGTCAGCAATGGAAATTTACCGGTGCCTTTTATTATGCGACTACCGTTTTAACTACTATTGGGTATGGTCATTCCACACCAAGCACCATTGGTGGCAAGCTCTTCACGATGTGTTATGCTATCGTTGGCATTCCATTGGGGCTCGTGATGTTTCAGAGTATCGGAGAAAGAGTTAATAGACTGAGCAGGTAATTGAATTGCAACCGCATATTGGGATGCATGCTCGTTATTACGTTGAATAGAAGAAAACACAAATACGAGATGCTAATGATGACACATTTTGTATCGCTTATAGTTTTGTTATAAAATCCGTTAAATCATCGTTGAATTGTGAACGTACCGTTGCATCGGAATTAGATTTAATTTGTGTTGTCACAACATTAAGTTCGCTGACAATAGCCGGTGGTGCAGCTGCTTTCTCAAAATTTGAGGGATGGAGCTACTTTGATTCAGTTTATTATTGTTTCATTACACTGACTACGATTGGTAAGTATTTTGATGAAATTATCTCACTAAAAGCTTCTTCTTGAGTCATTCTTCGTTCATACGCTTTCTTTTTCGATATCTTCTTTTCACCAATTATTTCCAGAGTTTGTGTTTCAAACAACACATTTTTCCATCACATTCCGTTAGATAAATTCAATAATCTTGTAGCTCTAATAAAAAAAAAAAACTGTATGATTCTGTTTGTTTGTTGTGCAGGTTTTGGTGATATGGTCGCATTGCAGAAGGATAATGCGTTAAATAAAAAGCCGGAATACGTTATGTTTGCGTTAATATTTATCCTGTTTGGTTTGGCCATTGTGGCTGCATCCTTAAATTTATTAGTACTTAGATTTGTCACAATGAACACGGAAGACGAAAGACGAGACGAAGCTCAAGCAATGCAGGTACGATTTAAATCTTTTTTTCAATAGCTTTGTTTTGCTGTTGCTAGCTGGACTGTCTTGACAGTGAGCAAAGAAGTCATTATTCGCTGAATTTATGTACATTTTTCTAACATGATTTTTTAGTGCGAATAAAAATTAAATGGGTTAATTTTTTTCTTGTTTGTTTATAGGCACTCCAAGGCCGAGGTTCGTATAATTTTATTTTCTTTTTCAAATCCTTCTCTTTTTTTTTTCAATTTTAAAAATGAAATATCGATGCATTTTCCGAATGTAGTGACGCTGGAAGGGGATGTAATAACAGCAAATGATTCAATATTGAGTGGTCATATTGGTCACGAAAATATGTCTGTCACTGGTGATAATACATCAATATGTTCATGTCATTGTGCCTGTTTTAGGGCAAGAAAACACAAAAGGTGAGTATCATTTTTCATTTCCACGCGCACACTATTTTCTCGCAAACTCCTTGGCAAAAAAAAAAAAAACAACAAAATTCCGTATTATTTGAAAATTATTAATTTCAATTTAAATTTTCTATTGGCTCGTCCGCACACACATTTTTCATCCAAACACACACACACATTGACTTGGCAAAATACACACTGATTTATTAGTAAACATAGATTTAAGGTAAGACGCTCTCCAAGCCACATTCGACATTTACTACCCACATCGGTACTGCCATTGAAAGAATTTCACAACTACGATCAAACGTCACAACAGCAACTAGATCAATATCGCACATCATCGACAATGAATGATTCACGTATGTTATTGAATCATCCGCATCAAGATTTGCTGAGCGGCGGTGCAATCATCACCGACAGCGCCTATATGTATGACATGGATTTTGGCAGTGTGATACCATCACGAACGCAAACCACACTGTTACCTCCCGATTTGTGTTGTCCCGATTTGCCACCACTCTACCAACCCGCACATAGAGCTTCCATTTAAATAATCCAGACAACACACAAACACAAGTGCGCGCGAAAACACACAACAAACACCAAGCAGCAAGCAGCAACAACGGGCGAACACGGTGACACAACTCCTTTTCTGTATTTAGGGAAAAAAACTGCTTTTCTTTTGAAATGACAGTCCTGGATAATTTTCTGTTTTAATTCAACGAAAGGGAAAAACAAAGTTTTACTATTTATTTCCACTGAATTCATTGAATAGTTTTCCTTTTTCCGGGCAAAAGAAGGAAAATTGGACTCAGTCAATGTAGTGAGGATAAAAAAACATATCCAGGCCATGTTTGATTATAACGTAATATAGGCAAAACGGAAACGGAATATCCCCATTGAAATTTATTCACACCAAAAATCTTGGCGCAATATTCGAAGATGATAAACCATTAATTAGAAAACGAATGTGTAACAACCAAATTAATGACCATGAAATGAATCAATTTGTACTATAGTATTTCATATGTTAAGCATAGACAAAAAAAAAAACAAATACAGCAGAAATCTGTACCGGACGAAAACGACGACGGCCGACAAACATGAACAAACGCCTCTGATCATTTGGATAAAGCATCAAGATGAGATTGTCAATTCGTTTATTCTGCAATCTCAACTGAGCAATCTTTCCACGGGCGATGCGAATATTCTTTTGTCGGATAAAACAAGAATCTAAATAATTTGTTTTTTTTTATTGTTGGAAATGAATGGACTACGAAATCAAAGCAATTTCTTTTAACAAACACGGTTCACGTGGATAACGACAACTGCGTGCGTTTGTCGTCATTCCAGTGGCAGTTTGTCAAATGCAAACTTAATCTTAAACACACCCACAAAGAAACAAACAGACACATACACAAAAATTGGTCGGTGTTATTTGAATAGTTGTTGTAGTTAATTAATTATCGATATGGAATCCAATAAACACTTAAATAAAGTGTGGCGGAATCAATTTCCTAGGACAAAAATAGATTCATTCGCAAGCTGTTGAACAAAGAAAAACTATAGACGGACGAAGCGAAGAAAATTTTCCACAGACTAGTGAATTTGCTGTCTGCCCAGTGACTGCTCTTCAACAGCGGCTTCCAATAGCGGTTGCATTGCTGTACACTATGAGCATCGCGCGGAAATTTGAACAAACAAATGGAGCTATGTCGAATGCAAACTGAGTCGAATCAACTCTGCGTGCATGTCCAAGTCCATGCGTGTTAGAGTTTTGTGCATGAGTCTTACAGTGTGTAACGTGCATGCCATGACCTAAGTAGACAGTAAATTACTGGCCTGGTTTTCCAAAACCGTTCATTGGAGAAGTATGGAAATATGTGTAAAAAAAATGAAGGAAAAAGCAAAAGACATTTGCGAACTGAATGTGTGATTTTTTTTAGGGACAGCACATAACATTCGAGTAGTCTCACTTCTCTAATTTAGTAAGATTTCAATTTTCAATGAAAAAAAAATCGAATGATAGAAAGGAATGCAGAAACAGTGCCAAAGGACTTAATTGTAGTAAAACCAAAATCTTTTCGAAAAATATAATATCATTCGGGCAAAAATTAGAGACAGAGTAAAAAACAAACGCTACCAAGATTATCCATTTCTGTTCCTATCTTCTCATACAAATACAAATTCCATTTCCCGAAAAGAAATGAAATCCGATTCTAAATGGTCATCAAAAAATGAAACTGAACCTATTTTTAAACAAAGGTTGTTGCTAATAAAAACAAAAATAAATTATATTACCTTAACTCGAACTCATTACGTTTTTCTCCATTTATCGATTATCCGAACAAATTATTTTGAATAGACAATTATTATTAAAAGAAAACAAGATATTATATGTAATTATTCAAATCGAATTAGAAATTCCTTCTCTTTACTTTACTATAAAAGTAAACATGGGCAAAACAACAAAACCAGAAAAATATATTCAAACGAATTGAGAAATACGATATGCAGCGATTCAGATAGGTGTAAAACTGTACAATTGAAATAGGTCATTTGGAACTCTGTCGCATTCACACATTTGCAGTGTGTGTGTGTGTGTGTGTGGCTCGCCAAATTTCAAGTGTGCTACAGCATTACATGTCTCAGTCATCGTGCGTAATGTAATCACATTAGCTTTTTTAAAAATACCTGAAGAGAAAAAAAACACAAAAATTTAAAATCGAAATGAGAAGAATGACACCTTTATTGAAGTCGAACTATATCAAAATACAAAATACATTTTTCGTATTTTTTCAAATGCGTGGAAATTTCAATTCGTTTTAAAACACACACACACACACAAGAGAACGAACGAATAAACAAATGAATTAGAATTTGTTAAACAGTTCAATAATAAAAAAAAAACCCGCTTTGATTGTAAACCAGTCTTATTAAATTGAGATACAAAATTAGATGAAACATTGATAGAAACAACAACAATATGAAGCAAAAAAACATTTTCACTATTATGTAGGTATTTAAAAATTAAAAATTTTCTCGTTTTTTTACTATCGATATAAAAGAAATAATTTTTAAAATATTTAAACGGTCAAGTGTGTCAAGTTCAGAATTTCCTTATTCTCCCCTCATTACCAACACCCCAAACACACCGCCCTCAAATAGAATCTATTGACATTTTACAAACAAAAGTAAAAGTAAAAAAGGCGCAACTGCTCTTAATTCACGCCATTCCTAAGGACAGTTTGCACGATAAAATGCGCCAAAAATGAAGAGTTCATAAGTTGTATATATTCCTAAATTACAAATTTAAGATTTTTAATTGACAATTTGCAAGAATTTCATTAAAACCCACTCCCATACAAATTTACTCAATTCAAACATCCGAAGAAAAAAAAAAAATCGAATACATGAAGATTCGCATCACATTTCATTTGGTTTTCAAATTGTTTGTATAATGTTTTATTTTATCAATCAAAAGGATTTTTGTCATTTTCTCCAATTCTTTCGAAGCGTTACACGCTCAATTGGTTTAAACAAACTGAAAGTGTGTTTAAAGAAAATTAACTATTTTTTATAAGTTTTTGTTTGTATTTATTCATTTTATTTTTTATATTTGCTCAATCCGAGTTTTTTTCATGTGTGTTTTGATCACACAATTCAATTTCAATCAAATTTTAATTCTTTTCGTTCACCAGCATATCATATTGCTTCCAAAATTCGAACTTTTTTTTTGGACTTGTTGAGTTATTTAAAAGCAAGTTATTTTTTTAGTGAGTATATTGAATACTTTGGCAGTTTAATATGTATTTGTTTTTCAACCATACATTTGGTTTTTTTCCCCTTGTTGTATATGGTTTTTGGAATGTTCTGCAGAAAAATAGAAATTGACGCAGCTTAGTTTATATGCTGAATATTGAAATAATTCTGAATTCGAAAGAAAGATAGAACGAAATAATTGTATGAATCATCATAATTTTTCCCCATTTCCTTCCGAATCAATTTATATTCTGGAATCACATCATTTGTTACGCTTATCAAGATTGGTTTTTGACCTTTTTCAGTAGTCATCTAATTCGTTTCAATGTAGATATATAAAAATGAATTTTAAAGAAAATCTAATTTCATTTATTATTTCCTAGTTATATCTCAAAAGAAATTCTTGACAAAAGAAATTAATTAAATCGCTCAACCAAAAGACAAAAAAAAAATGCAAATAAAAACAATTCGCTTTCATTCATTCGATAATGCCTAAATAAGTGATTTTTTTAATGGATAAAAACAAAATAATCGAATATATCGTACAGTGATTTATTTCCAAGCAGAATAATAAAACCAAACCGACATGGGTGTATCGCAGTCAAGATAATGGGTTCAAACAAACACACACTCACACACATACACAGTTTTCATAGCATGGCAGAGAATCAATGCATTCTCGTTATGTGGACGACCAAATAAATAATAAGCAGAGAAAAAAAAAAATGTACCAAATAATGTTATGTATGAACCATATTCGTTGCACTTCGAAATCCACACAAAAAAACAAAAAACAACAAGAAAAAACATTCAGAAGAACAGACAAGATAAGTTCGAAAACCATTTAAAATTGTAATAATATCTTATTATTGTATCCTAAATCCGAAAGGAATGAATGAAATAAAGAGTACATTTTTAAATTCATTTCTTCATTTTATTTCATTTCTAGCGATCACATTTCAAATTTCCCACAGGTGCAATTCACGGTCATGAAAACCGTGGCTAGCCAAAATCATCGTTTGTTGGATATGCTGTTCACAATACGGATCATATAGAGTTGAGACATTCTTTGTACATGGATCTTTGTAGTATCATACTATGTTATGATTGATATTAGAAACAAAATTTTGAAATCAACGAGAAAAATAAATGAACAAATTGATTTTGGATTCGAATTTTTGTCTTTTTTCAATTTGCAAAATTGCCGCCGTATCCAAAAGAAGAGAGATAAAGCTGTAGTCGTCATAAAGGCTGAATGATGTTATAAAAGATAAAAGAGGATTTCAATCCAAGTGAAAAGAATGTGACGAAAAAAATCGATTGCTGTTATTGAATTTTTTTTTCAAATTTCCGTCTCAACGGTATTTTATCCTTGTGTTCAACATCACACAGTGTATGAACAACTATTGAGTGTGTGCATGTACACATACAGAGAGAGAGAGTGACGTATGGGCCATATGGTATGGCCATGTGTGCGTTAATTCGAACTGTCAACGATTGACGTGACATTGAATATGCTACGAAATGTTTTGAACGTGATATAGTTTTTTTGGAAATTGCCAATAAAATGTTTGGGTGTTTTTGAATTCTGTTCAACATGGATATTCAATTTAGTGGTTGTGTACAGCAGTTAAATTGGTGATTGTTTTTTTTTTCCCTAGATTTGTAGTACTTATTTATTTTGACATATCAAAAAACAAATCGGTAAATACTTCCGCATTGAGTATCAATAGAAAATTTCATTGGAGTAGTGTTTCAATGACTAAGACTATTTTCTTATTATACGTAATTTTAGTTGAATCATTTTGAGGATGTCGACGGGTTTGATGTTTCGGCGTGCACTTTGTTCCACACTGAGAAGTCAGCGTATTCGCAGTGCATCATGTCATTCAAATTATGCAACGAGCGAGTCCCCGTCAAGGTCAACGTTACAAATATTACCAATTAAACACGGGATCTACAGTTTCATCAAGGTTCACCACTACAGCACACAAAATGGACGTCATTGGAAAACCATTGATAAAGCGTCACCATCGTCAAACACTTCCTTTACCTTGATGTCATATAATATACTCGCCCAACATCATGTTGATTCGCAGCCTTCATTATATCATGACCATAATCCTGATTCATTGCGATGGACACATCGATTCGATGCACTCAAACAAGAAATCACGGACATTTCACCCGATATTCTATGCCTGCAAGAAGTGCAACAAAATCATCTGAAGGAAATTGCAATACATTTTGATCATTTGGGCTATGATACGTCATTATTTAAAAAGCGAACGGGGCTACAAGTGGACGGCTGTGCAATTTTCTTCCGGAGAGATTTATTCGATCTGATTGAATTCCACTTTGTCGACTATTTTCAACCGAATATCAAAGTAAGCAATAAATCAATAATTATGGAGCAGCAATCAATTGGCAAGAATTTGAAACGATTGTCTTTCATTCCAGATTTTGAATCGATGCAATGTGGCAATCATCGCAAAATTCGCTTTGAAATCGCATCCCGATACCCAATTTGTGGTATCCACGACACATTTGCTGTTCAATCCAAAGCGACATGATATTCGGCTAGCTCAAATACAAGTATTACTGGCCGAATTGGATCGGGTGGCTCGTGATGAAATCAACCAACACCAAACCGTGCCAATCATATTGACTGGTGACTTTAATATTCAACAAAGCTCCGAAGTGTTTCGGCTTATCATTGGCGAGCACATTGTACCTGGCAACCTGTTTGCCAAAATGAATTTCCAATTTGGAAAAATTAGTCAGAATCTGTTACCTCGCGAGCTCGGAATCTCGGATAACTGTCAAGTAGGTTACATGCGATTTGAACGTATTCCAATAATTGTAGAAATTAATAATCAAAATTTGATTTTTCAGCACTTGGACGTCGTTATCAACAGCAATAGATACCAAACGGCTGTAAGGACTTGTTGATTTTTTGTATTTTTTTCCCTATCGCATGTCACATAAATTTCGGCCAAATTTAATGCTTATTAATTTTTTTTTCTAAATATGGTTCAATTCAACAGTTGAATGCAGGTGTACAGCATGCAAATTGTAGCCGAACGGTAGAGAAGCGCATAATAACCAGTGATGATATCGAACAATCGAAATTACCATTTAACACTGGTGTGATAAAGCATCATTTAAATTTGGTGCCAACGATTTGCCCGACAAAACCATTTGAAATGGATACAATGCATGCTTCAACGTGCCACCACAATAAATGGATCATGGTTGATTATATATTTTTTTCGGAATCCAGCAAATCAATGGCATCTTCATCGAAATTACGGCTACTTGAAAATTATCAATTGCCTACAACGATTGAATGTTTATCACGCAATGGACCGATACCAAACGAGACACTAGGCTCTGATCACTATTCGATTGCGGCACGATTTTCCATCGAATAATGAACACACACGAATTGTATTTAATTTATTTGTTGTTATATAAAATTCTATGTCTATATATAGACAGAGAAAAGCAAAAAAAAACAAAAACAAAAAATGGAATAAGAATTACCTCGATTATTGTGCGTCGAGAAAAATTGCAAATGATGACAATAAATATATTTTACGAATTGTTGTTGATTGGTGTTGAATTATGTACATGGGAAGAGAAACAAATATATTTTTTCGCCTGAAAAATTGTGTGCTTTTGATGGAAAATTATTTGAAAAAAAAAATTATTTCATTAAATTGTTCTGAAAAGAAGTTTCATTAAGTTTAACGATAAGAGATGGCGCTGATTGTTACATATACACTGACAAAAGTGTCTTGTGACAGCTGATTTCACATGGAAATAAACTAAACACTCAATTCAAAAGTGCATGGAGTAAGCAGTGACGAATAAATTGAAATTAGTTGTTTTTGCTGAATGGACGGTATTAAATGGTGTAAGGAATTGTAACAATGAATACACCGACAAATCATTGGTACAATCAACAGCAGAGAAATGAACAGCTGGCAAATTGCATTCAAAACCAAATATTTCATCGGCGACATCGAACTTGGAGACGAACCCCGTACGGCCAAACATATCGATATGATCGCAATGGACACCCGTTTGTTTTAATGTCATACAACATATTAGCACAATCATTGCTTTGTAAACATTCACATTTGTATACCGAGAATGTGGCCGAGTTTTTGGAATGGCCACACCGTTTACAGTGCATTCGAAATGAAATTTTCGAGATGAAACCAGCGATTTTATGCTTACAAGAAGTGCAACAGTCGCATCTGGAAGAAATTCAAAATGCATTACAACCGATGTGCTATGCAAAGCCACTGTACAAAAAACGCACCAGCCCTGATTATGACGATGGATGCGCCATTTTTTACGATCCACAATTTTTCGAACTCATTGACCATCATTATGTTGAATTTTATCAACCTGATGTTAAAGTGAGTAGCGCAATCGAATCTTCAATATTCCTGTGAACTTTCAGTTTATTCTGGATTTTCATTCCGTTATGAAAAAAAAAATTATTTATTCCTCTTGATAAAACATTGAAAACTGTTTATACATCAGATTTTCCGTTTTCATTTCAGATACTCGATCGATTCAATGTGGCAATCATAGCTAAATTTGTATCAAAGCGTCTTGAAAATCTACAATTGACCGTTGCCACAACACATCTATTGTATAATCCTCGCCGAGATGATGTACGTACCGCACAACTGCAAGTGCTACTCGCTGAGCTTGATCGAATGTCAGTGCACACGAAAACTAAGGAGCCATTGCCAATCATTTTAACGGGTGATTTCAATTGTTTGCAATTCTCTGCACCGTATCGGCTAGTTAACGATGGTCACATCAATTCAACTAATCTACCGCTGTCATGCCAAATCATGGATGACTGCAAGCATATGAATGTGACAATACACCAGAATCGACGAAGAACTGCTCTCTTCAACAGCAGCAGCGGGAGTAACGATAGTGCCGCTGAATTTGCTTCGGACGACGAAGGCAAAGATTGTGTGAATGTAAGTGATGCAACAATTGAATATATACTGTCATCCGGACTACCGTATAATACCGGAGCATTATGGCATTACTTGAACCTACAACCAACCTTGGTATCGAACAACATGGCGTCGACATATCAAGACAAATGGATAATGGTGGACTATATATTTTACACAAAATATTCACGACGAACACTTGGCCCATTGACAACACCAACGAAATATTCATCGCTTAAATTACTAGCCAACTATGAACTACCGATTAAACAAGACTGCCATAATCTGGGACCAATACCGAACTGGTAAATCATTGAAAGATTAAAATAATTTGAAATTTTTTTTTTATTCATTTATTATTTCTTCATTGATTGTAGGATCTACGGGTCGGACCACTACGCCATGGCATCAGAATTTGTGATTCGATGATACACGCAATTTGGATATGTGAAAAATCAATTGACTAAAGAAAAACCATTTATATATGTTGAATATTTTTTAAAGATTTGAGAATGAATAAAATTTTTATATAAAAAATATATTTGAGATTCATGAAAAAAAAAAAAAGTTTTCTTTTAATATTAGCTGGATTTGTATAAGTATATTGGCCTATAAATCACGTCATTGAGTGATTTGAGTATTCTTAATACTATTTAACAATGCAATGAATTCATTGCAAATTGTGAATAGAACACAAAATGTAATTTTGAATCGTGTACTATACGGACTATATTCAGTCTGAATCAGACGAGATTTCATAGATAACATTGTTGTTGTTGTTGTTGTTGTTATTGTCATTATTATTGCTGTCATCGGCGTCATCATGTTCGTCCGACGATATGATGATTTCGGACAATGCATCCGCGTCAACTTCTTCATTAGCTCGCTCGATCTCTTGCGCTGGTATGGGCTCCGGCTCATGCTGCAAAACTTGTGCAGGTGCTTGTGCGTAAACCCTCTCCTCAGTTACAACAGGTGATGTTTGTTCAGGTTCATGTTCAGACTCTGATTCCTTCGTATCAGGCAACTGCTTGGCTCGTCTTCTGACTTTTTTTATTTTCATCTTTTTCTTCTTTTCCGTCACGTTTGCTACAATATTGGTGTTATGTTGGTTGAGCAAATGACCAATATCCTCTAAAATGATATAGCATCTTTTTGTTTGGTCTACCGGCCTCTGCTGAACCGGCACCAATAATTCTTCCGAATCACTTTGTTGGCCGATTTCTTCTGCCTCGTCAGCTTCATTGTTCATTTGGAATTTTTCTTCCGGTTCCGGATTTGCCTGTTCTTCGGACTCTGGCTCTTCTTCAACTATGTATTGCGGTGACATATCTGGAAAAAAAAACGTTTTATTTTTACAACAAATTTATAAAATAAGTCCAACTTTTCATGTCAATCATCTGTCACACACATAATGCATTTGATAGTCTTGAAAAAAAAAAATGTCTTACCTCCAAAAACTTCTGCAGCTACACCGTTATCCTTATTTTCCAACAGACTCTTTTGGTGATCTTCTTTGAATCTTTCATACGTGAATTCGACGGTAGCATCAGAGGCATCCGATTCATAGTCTTCGTTTTGTTCCGTCTGTATATCTTCAGTTTTCACTGTGACCTCGTGTGCAACAACATTTGCCATTTCCTCGTCTTCTTCTTTATTTTCATCATTTTCATTCGGTATTGGTGAACCGTTTGGTTCTGTTGCTGGTGAGCTGGCTGGTGATTCGGAGGTTGGAGAGAAGGTTGGTTCCACCTCATTAGCATCTTCGTTATTGCTTTGTTCGTCGGCACGTTCGTTGGATGGGGGTATCTCATGGCCATTTCTTTGATCCGTGCTATCTACTGTACCATTTCGATCTAATCTCTGTTCTTCATTGACAGGCGATTCATTTTGATCTGGCATTTGTTCATCATTGTCTTCATACCGACCATACTCCCGAACTCTTCTGTAGTCATAAAGAGAAATACGACGTCTATTTTTAATTGGAGCTGCCATGGGCATGGCGCCTTCTGGCCGTGTTTCACTGGGGAATTGCACCGGTCCATTCTGAACGATCGGTTTCGGCGGCGCCTGCAGCCTTTCCCTTAACCGAGGATCGGATGGTCTTTGTGTGTTCATCATTTGCATTCCATGCGGCATCGATACGTTTTGATTTGGTTGAAGCATATTTGATGGGGGCATATTCGGTGGAAGAATATTTTGATGAGGCATACCTGGTTGAGGTACAAAATGCTGTTGCCTCGAATGATCGAGATAGTTCGCATTTGGCGAATTCATCGGTATATTTTGTGAAGGCACTTGCGGTGGAATTATTAATGGTAATCCAGGAGCATTACCAATAATCAGTCGAACTGGTATGCGGTTGTGTGAACCATAATGAGCTGGCTGTTGGTAGTATGCATTTGCCGCAGGTGGAACTGGCAGCTGTTGATTGTAATTGTATGTTGGCACATTGAAATTTGGCAGAAAAGGATTCGAGATTGGGTTCAAGTTCGAGGTTGGTGCAAAATATCCCGAAGGCGCATTGACCAATGGTTTGTATGGAAGCGGAAACTACAAAAAGTTGCTAACTTCAATAAAAATGTCAATGAAAGATATTATTCGCCAAATAAATACTCACATTGTGCTGTTGGACAGGTTGAATGTTGTTTGCCGGTGTCATTTGGTCAATGCCATTCTGCAGAACACGTTCCGGTTGTGAAATTTGCTGTGTTCCGGTGGCATTTGTTCCAATAATTGCTGTGATCGCATCTTGTGCGGCACTCGATTCTTTCGGCTTCTGTGTATTTTGTTTGTCTCGAACTTTTTGCAGAATACCCATCAAGTCGTTTTGCGACAGACTCACCGATTTTGGTTCATCTTTCTTCTTTTGTAATTCAGATGGAAAGTCATCACCGAAATTGCCACTTTCATAGTTTTGCAACCAATTCGATTTTATTGTTGATTGAGCATTATACTCACATTCTTCGCCTTCGTCGCTGGATTCGGAGTCACTTTTAAACTTGTCGTACATTTTTTGGTAAAAAAATTTGTCGTCATCTGATTCAAAATTATAAAGGCAACTTTTATCGTTTGTTTTCTAAACAACAGTTGGTTTGTGACTATGACAGTCGTGTTGATGTGTTCATTTCAGAATGTCATATACATGGTGTTGACATTAGCGCCATCTGGATTTTCATTGACAATACCCATTTCTTTCTCTTTCTCTTGTCCACCACAATTGATTTTAAGTTCAATAGAATGCATTGTTTGGACACATATCAAATTGCGTAGGTGACGTGACACTTGAAGTAAAATAACACTCAGAATATGTTGTGTATTATATTTTTTTTTCGTTCATTTCGTCCAAACAACCAACACTTTATTATTATTACAGTTAGCGTATGTAAATGTACAATGGAATATGATCAAAGTATGGATTGATGTTCTTCAATGTTTGAATCAACAACCATTGCCTCTCGATTTTCGTACGTCCAGAATCGATGAAATTCGATTAGAATTGAAACCATTGTCTCTCCTTGGCCACTGTCGATTATGTCTTTCAATGTGATTTTGGTTGGATCTTTTGGCTTGATCATGTCGAATATTTCATCTTTTACATCATCGAAATTCACTGGTTCAGCTCGATGGGCCTCTATTTGCTCTTGAATACCCTGATTTAATAGACAATCTATATTTACTTTTTTTGTTTTTGACGTTTCAGTTTTGAATATTTCAGATTTATTCTGAGCCATCTTCGATTTTATTGTTTAAAATATGAACTTACTTTGAAAAAATAGTTCAATGTGAACGAAGTCAAATATCCCTGATGGTCGAAATCAAGAATACGGAATAAATACTGCAAGCTCTGCGGCTCTTGTCGATTTTCTAATGCTAATACAAAGTCTAAGTACGTTTTATAATCCATCTCTCCATCGTATGTGATGCATTCAGCAAACAAACGGTCTAAGAATACACGGGTTAATGTGCCCGAACCATAGCCGATGAGCTACAAAGGGAAAATTGCATTTTTAAGCAATGTTGATCAATTGAATTTGAAGTGAGTAATGAGTTGTACTTCTTGTTTGCTCAGCATTCCATTGTGGTCCTTATCCAGGTTCAAATAATGACCGTAAATGCTAAGGGCTGACGGTGCTGAAAACCAATTCGTTTCCTGAGCATCTTTTGGCGTTTCTTCGTCACGCAACTCGAGCAAATCCTCGAGAAAACTGCAAGCCAACACATCCCTGATACGAATCCGTCCGGTTCGAAGTGAATCCAGGAAAAAAAAGAATTTCCGTACAGCTGTGCACACATAGAAATTATGAAATGATTTTTCCAATCCTTCCAGCTGCGGTAACGTAGGTATCAATTCCAAAATATACGATTCAAGATCCTAATTTTTGTTCAAAGGAAACACACACATGTTTTTAGTATTTTTTTTCTTTGTAGGTTGAGTCTTTACAAAAGTATAACAGATGAAATAAAATAGGAAAATGTTTAATAAAAAAAAAAAAACGAAATAAAACAATACCGATTCTCTGAGGAAGCCTTGACCAGTGTAATCATACAATGATAAACCAATGCGCGTTTGTTGCAACCACACTTTCCGCATTGTGTAGTTGAAGAGTGACATTATATTAACGTGTCCAGGATAACCACTGATGGCTTGTAGACGCAAAAACAGCGATGATGTCAAATAGATTCTGAAAGCATGGAAATGCATTAGGAATTTGCCATCGAATTGGCGGTAATGTACAGCTCACTTGAATTTTTCGCTGGCAATTTTAACGACACGCAAATAGTCATCATAACTGATGAACTGTTCGTTGTTTATACTCGGTTGTGTGTAATTCTTCTGCAAAATATTCCACAGTGCTTTCAGCTCGTTATTATCGAGTAATTCCTTGCTCCGTTTTTGCAAGAATAGCGTACGCGCTTCTTCTCGTAGTTTTTGCGCTAGAATGTCTGTACTTTTCGGTAATTTGTGATAGAAAAACGGAATAACTCTGTAAGAATCGTTTTTTTTAACATCTGTCAGCAGTTCTCGTCCCGTGCTCACATCGATTGGTTCATCGGATGAATTCGATTGCTGTTGCCCCTCGTTTTCATTGTCCATTGCATTGGCTTTTGTCACCGCCGCGGCAACCGGTTCTACTGCTGAAAATTCTAGCAAATTAACTAAAACAATCCATCAATATCAATGATTTATTTTCTGATTTTAGAAATTCACCCTTAGCTGCTCTCACCTGATTCATCCATTTCCACTGGCCACTTTGAAATCGTTTTAAATGACCTAAAGGCACATTGTAATAATAAAAGAAAAACTGAAACGAAAAATATTCAAAACAAACTGAAGCTGTTGTGCATTTCAATTCAAACGTCCAATGTAAACTTGTGTTAGTGCGTATGGTTTACAACGTTTATCTGTCTATCATGCTAGTGTTGCCCGTTTACCAAGTTTCACTATAAGGCTTCAAATCAATTAACAAGTTGTTCGTTCAGGGAAAATATTAGTTTTGATTTCAATTTCAATTCTGTTTCCACTTGAATAATTTTCATTCAATTTCCAATAAATATGAATTTCAGAAGAAAAGTCGAAACAAAAGAATTTAACAAAAATTCGTATCCATTCATAGATGAAACTGCAACTGAACGTTTACCGTTCATGTGAACGGTTTGCTGAACTTGGCATAAAAAAAGTAAAAACTTCCTTGCCGACCATACTTGGTTATTGATCGAATCGACGAAAACATTTCATTTTCTTTGTGACTGTCAAAACAAAACACCAGCCACTCATGAAATAAGTGTTAGTAAATTCAAAAGAGGAGGTAAAAAGGTTTGAAAGTGGTCGAAAGTGAGTACAAATGTTCTGTTTCGAAATTTGAGACCGAAAAGACTGAATTTTTGGATTTGGTGTGTGTCAGGAAAATTGCGCAAAACTGAACTCGACCGACGTCGCACCAACCAAATCTCGACGGAAAAAGTCGTGGAAAATTGCATTTTTGAAAATCTTACATGATTTTTCGTGCTTTCTGCTGATTGTAAACGTTTTACTGTTCATTGCATACAATAACATGGAGGCATTAGACATAGCGCAAGAAAGTTTATTGGCAATGGTCATACGATACGGTTTATACATTGGGGCAATCTTCCAAATGGTTTGCTTGGGTGCTGTTATCTTCATGGTGCCAAGAAACTCATCCAAATCCACGACTGCCGGCGCTATATGGAATTTCCTCCGGGTAATTTCATTTTATCACCAGCTTTTGCATCAAAACGAATAAACTTTTTTAAAAATAATTTTGTGCACTTTCAGGGAGATATTGAGGAATACAGTTCAAGCCACTCATCACCACAAGAAACACCGAAGCGACCATACGGTCATCGTAGCCGAAAGCAAGATAAAAAGAAACGACGTTAGATTGAAAATACTCACATCGATACCAATACCATTATTAGACAAAGCCAGTGATAATTTCTACATCTTTGCATCAATCATCAACAAATCCAAACATTTTTCTTTCTCGTTCCTCTTCATTTCATTTCATTTTATTTGATAGGTATTTATACAAAGAGATTTTGATGACAAGCCGTAATACCAAGCCAAACTCTACAACAAACTATATAAACCTGCGTATTGAAACAGATTTTTTTTTTCCATTTTGTAAGCTTAATAAAATAATTTCAGATAAAATAATATAACGTTTTGGGTTTTATTCAATACAAACAAATATATTGAGTTTTTATTCAATTCCAGTGATGATTCTGCATTGAACCCATAAAGCACACAGTAACAAAATACATTAAATTTCAATGGTTACACGTATATGGGCAAATCACATTTATTGTGCAACACAAATTTTATAGGGTGTTCAATCCAAAAATGCTCACTTGTCTTCATATCATAATCATAAACATAATTTCCTGAATTGAGTCATTTCATGACTTTTTAAATTGAGAGTCTTCAAATTAGAGAGACCAACTCATCGATTCAACAAAAAATCAAACAAACAGATAAACATTTATGTTTATGCTCATAAGTAAAAATCCACGGTATTTTAGTAACTTTTCAAAACATCAAATTTTTTTAGCTCAGCTCCATATTAATTGGTCCAAAGAGATTTACAAAAACGGAAAGTGAGATAGTAGACCAGTTCGGTAAAATTGAGCAAGCTACAACCCAGAAAAAATCCAGCCATTCCACCGATATACACTAAAAAAAATAAGGAACAAAATCAGATATTACATTTGCAAATATTGATAATTGATATAATAAACATCGAGACAGACCAAGGAAATCAGTAATGCCGAAGATTAAATCTCGTCTCAGTTGCATTTTTGGATATTCACTGATACCCCATTGCAAGTTTGAACCCAAAAACCACGTTCGAGATCTCTAAAAAAAACACATTGTTTTTCATATTTTAAAAAGTTTAAAGCACGTCAACGGAAGCCATATTGAGAAGAGTAAATAGTTTCCCTACAAATTGACTCAGAATGGCTATGGTTCTAATTGAGTGATTTTCATTTTCCATGAAATATGAATAATAATTCAATTGGTCGGTGCATTGACTCCAACTTACATAAGCCTTGACAAAGAAATTCGGATCATCGCAATTCGCAAGACAATCACAGTCGATGTGTATAATTTTCGATTTTAGTGATATCAATTCATCTGCAAAAGATCAGAATATCATGTAAAATAACGTGGAAAAATGGTCAAATGATTTGTTGTTTGATTTTAAAACATGCCTTTTATCGTTTGCAGACATCGTATTCCTTCAAAATCGCATACTTTATACTTTTTTCCACGTTTGGCTGAGAATATTGAAATTAAAGTGATTATTAAAATATATAAAGTGAAATCTTTATTAACCCTCTAATGCATACAACCGCCTCTGAATGGGCAACATTTGAACGCCTGTAGAACGTAAACATCGGATCACATTGCTTCACAAAGAATTTTTATTCGTCAATGTTCTCTCTTTATTTTTGTCTATGGCAATATTTGTCTATGTGGTCTAATTGTAAAGTTATAAACAAAAATGTGTGCAAAAACAAAAATTTGACAAAATGAATTATTCGAACTCCAAATTAGACACATTTTTGACACTTTTAAATAATGGATTTGATTGAAACCATGGGGAATCCAGGATTATGAATATTTTTTTTAATTATCTATGGCCAAAAATCAACCAAGTACCAGTACTCCCAGCCTTGGGAAAAATTAATGCATTAGAGGGTTAAACACATCTCTAAAAACTGAATAATTTTTTCAATTTTTTTCGGATATTCTGAACAAAATTTAAATACAGTTGTTTCGTTTTCGAAAATGTTGATATCTTAATATCGCTTCTAATATGTATTATTCCATTAACTTGAAAGTTAATAGCGCTATATCTTTTTAATATTTTCCCCGTACAACTGTCAATTTGAACAAATGAAAAACAAAAATCTAAATTCAAGATGTGAAAGAGTAATTTCAATACGTTAAATACATTTAAAAAAAAAAAAACAAAATAAACTTACTCTTCGATCGATAAAAATGCGGAACACATCCGCATGTTTTGAGTGCGAGTCGTAGGCGACATTCATTCTGGCAAAGGTTATAGGAGTAAATTGGGCTCGTTTCAAGGATATCGGCTTCATGTGCGAATCGGCATTGCCTCTGCGATACGCTCAATCTAACACGGTATCAGTGAAGAAAAATTGCATTGAATAAAAAACGAAATGGATGAGTGGAGACAGAAAAAAGAGCTGCGTGTACATTTATTAGGCTTAACGGTATCGGTAAAATGTGTATATGTGCACGTGGCAAAAGTAAAACCAACATCGCCTTTGTCAGTATAATATTTCCAAGGAAGAAATATCGTGGATTTATCCTTTTGTCTTTTGTAAAATAAATGCGTTATGAATGGCTTGGCGTAGCATGAAAACATTAGCAATGTTCGTCTGATTCGGTGCTCACAATCGTTCAAATAATTAATTGATTGAATTAAGTGAAGAAAGGCAGATAAAAAGCGAGAGAGAGATCAAGTCTGCATGAAAACCCCCATGCGAGTTAAGAATGAGGAATCGATTGGTAGTCAAGCATATACGCGCGCATACACATACACACATACATGAATATACATATCCAATGCACGATGGATCAAATACTAATTGCGTGTAAAATGGGAAAAATAAACATCTCAGGGAATATGTATGTGGCATGGTGCGTGCAAAATCCAACTGGTTCTGCTGTGCTTTCCACGTAAATTGAGACGCCGAATGAGCGAGAGTAAAGCGAAACATATTGTGTATCGGGTGGTGAGAATCGGTCTCGGTTGCATTATAAAGTAAATTGAGAATTTCGATTGAATCTCCAAAATATTATTGTTCTGACCATTGTTGGTACATGTCATGTACTACATGACGATTGCACATTGACCACCACATTTCCATTATTGCGTTCGATTCCAATCGTCATTGATTCTGGTTTATTTGTGCCCTTTTCTTTTCGCCTCTCAAAAAGTACGCTCAACCAAAGCAATTAATGTGATAAATTATCAGCATCGAAAGCGGCGTATAACATCATTATTTATTTGTCGTTTCAATTCTCATTGTTGTGATACGAGAACAGAGGGAGGAAGAGACACAGCACACACACACACACACACACACACACACACATATTTTCTTTTGTTCAAATCAACACACGAAATTTCGATGCTGTATACAAATCCGGGCATTGTTTTACCAAATACCGTACTGAATATCATAAATACATATGCGTAGATTGTAAGTGGCCGCTTGTAGAAGATGCTTGAATCCGAAAAGGTGGAATTGCCTTGCACAAATAAATACATTTGAATCCAACCAATAATAATCATGCGATTCCATTAATGAGATTCTCATTTCTCCAAAATAACATAACAATAATATAGTTTCTTTGCATAAGCGGCTAACACATGTCCATTTCCGATTCGTTCGAACAACAATACATGGAGTCCAGTACGGATGAACAACGAGAAAGCGAACGTTCACACGCAAAATGGAAGAGTCAATCGTGAAATAATTGATTATGCACCATTATTTGAATGGTTTGGAGCGAAAATGTAATACAGAATAGTTGAGCGGAAAAATGACGATGATGAATGAGCGGAAAAGGGATAGCTATATAGTAAACTATATTGAACTATATAGCAATCCCTTTTCATTTGACATTTTTCCGCTCAACTTTTCTGTATTACATTTTCGCTCCAAACCATTCATTTATTACTCATTACTCTCGTGTTTGAAACGCCAAATCGCTTTTGCGTTTGCTCAACCGATAAATACTGCTACATTTTGGATATATGCGTATTAATCTCCTTGTTCCATGAGCAAAAATGTTGCCGATTCATTCAGCGAAACAACGCTCGACAATTGCTCAGATAAGGCGAGAGAAAAATTGCATTTCATCACACAATCGATTGATTCACCAACCAAACAATCCAATTTCATCTCTTCAATTCGAAAATCAAACCAACATTTCATACCTTCAATTTGCTAAAGTGAGAGAAACAATTCATCGGAGCGAGAAAAAAAAAGATGATGGAATGACACACATTATTTTTCATACGCATTTCGAATTCAATAGGAGAGAAAAAAAATGCGTCAAAGCAAGAATTTCATCAAATTGTTATTAAAGGAACAATCGAGTTCAACTTAGAAAATATGAAGCAAGGGCACATTTTTCTTCATGAAATTCTGAATCGCAGACAAACAATCATCAAACAAACTATGCTTGAACGAAATAACCTATAAAATAAAGCGTTCAAATCAAGCAATTATGGTTTGAAACGAGCTTTGCTCGATTATTCTTTCTCTTAATGCTGGTAAAAACCTGCATGTGAAAGGTGTAAGCGGATTTGGAGTAATTGATTGCTCCTCATACGACCGACAAACATCGATGGCAAAACTGGTATATTAAATACAAAGAGTTCATTGCTGTCGAGTGGTTAGAATCTGTTCTATTTTCGAATTGAAGAATGTTATGCTTTGGCCCATCAGATGAAATGCGTCATCATTCCAAAATGTATTATGGTTTCTGGTATTAATATGCCATTACGGTGGCGATGGTGATAAATATGCAAGATTTGTTACATTTATTTGGTTACGATATGAAATATTCCCCACCATTGAAATTCGAAAGTTTTCCACTACCCCCAAAAAATGGGAATGCAATGGTTCTACTGATTGACTGCCACTGATGACTCTCCTCCCGAAAAAAGTTTATGACGAAATGTTTCTGTTTGCGATCGACGTGTATACGCCACCGTCGATGCAAATAAATCTCTCAATTAATTTATAAAATCCTTAAATGAGCCCTTCATTGTTAAATAATTACATCACATGTACCCCATAAAGATAAATTTGATTGGTTGTTGCCGCTGTCGTTCATCGTCGTCATAATCATTACTCTCTTTCTTTCTCTCTCTCTCTTTCTCATTCGTTTCATCCTAGGTTTTTTCCCAATGTATTATTTTTAATCGGTGTTACTGGTTCAGAAGCATTTAACAAATTTTATAACCCGTTTAATAAAATGCTGCACAATTTGGAAATGGTTTTTATGTTCTCGGTCGAGCGCTCATGCTACAAACATACTGATTCCATACTAACTGATGGCTTGAGTGTGATGGTAATTAATGGCGATTTTCTAAAATGTTGAAACCTTTTTTTTAATTCCTAAATTGACGAACTGTTGTGTTCTGCGATCAAACAAATTGACAGCTTTTGAGCTAAAAGTTGAGTACCGGATTATTTATTTTTCTTGAGCTCCTAATGAGTAGCGTTGATTTCTGGGCATTGCGTGACAATTGATCAAAAAATGTATATGGAAAAACAGGCGATAAAAAATGTGGGCTAACTTACGATTTTGCATTGTTTGATGTGAGAATTTCGAGTGCGAGCAGCTCTACCGTTGTATAATCACCAGCAGGGAATGAGTAGCGTTGCTTTGCAATGTCTGGTACTTCGTTGAGACCGTGAAAATAAACCTGATAAATTGAATAAAAAATAATTTGAGCCTAGATTTTACCGTCTAGCGTGTTATGTACAAACCTCGTACGCACATGACAAATTGATAATTTGGGCATAGATTTCGCCGTCTAGCGGATGTACCGAAATCGTATCATTGGTTTTAACATAATCCCATTGATTGTTATGCCAGTATCTGCCAGTATGTGTGTGTGTGTGTGTGCATGTTTGAGCCGGTGACAAACACACCATCATCCAATTTGTCATTAAAATTGCCGAAACCGAAAAACAACAACACACATAGAAAAAAAAATTAATGGCGAAAAAAGGAAAAGTGTTGATATTCGGCCTAAATTGGCCTGGCCGGTTTTGGTTAGTGTCGACGCGTGTTTTCAATCTATTTATCTATGAGTTTTTAGGTGCATAGAAAGTATAAATAAAATGATAAATCGTGCAAAATGGAGTGAAACCGAAAACGCGCTCGCGCGCATCGTACAAAAAATTTATTGGCTTAGTTTGTGGCTGCTATACTGTTGTGTTCATAACACAATAACACTCATTATGCCAGGCGGCGTGCGGCATCTCGTTGTTGTTTTTTTCCTGGTAATTTTGGGTCTGCAATTGTGTGGATGTGTTTGTGAAATTTTGCGGTGTATTATTTTGAGGCCAGAATCGTGATAAAAACGCATGTTGAGTGGTCTTTTGAACATATCGGAATGGCAATTTTGCATGTTGTTGCACAGTGCGGTGCCACTGATTGTTATCCGCTTTTGTTGACGATTTTCGTCCCGAACAAATATAAATGTATATAGAACGGAAATTTGTTTGTGAATTGCCTAAACTATCATAATCAATGTTGGTGGTGTGGCGTACCAAAAAATATCTCTCTCATGACAACGGCACACAAAACCTGGAATATAGAATATTCCCAAAACACACACATACACACACACACAGAGAGAGAGAGAGAGAGAGAGAGAGAGAGAGAGAGAGAGAGAGAGAGAGAGAAAGAGAGAGAGAGAGAGAGAGAGAGAGAGAGAGAGAGAGAAAGTTCTCTTCACCTATATGAATTATAAGCGGCTATTTTTGAATTAACCGCATAACAAATCCCAAGCTCAGTAATCGTATCCTGTAGGTATAATTTATGAGCGGACCCACTATTTAATTCCGGTTTGAACACAAAAGATAGATTCCACAGTAGATCCAAATATTGATTACTATCGATGTCAAATGTACGATTCATTGGTAATTGGTCATAATTTTCGAATGTCGCATTCGATAGTTTTTCAATGAAATCGGTGAATTCATGGCGATCGTCATCACTTTGGAATATGTGCGGTCGGGCTCTGCATCGGCCAAAAATGAATCCATTACATGCGAGATAGAGAGAATGAATGAGTATTTTCACGTAAAATTTAGAGAACGAAAAAAATAAATAAAGTGAAAGCGACACTAGGGGAATTTAACTCTTACGAGTTCAGCATGTTTTCTGCCAGTTTGCTTGATTCGCGGAAGTTCGACGCGTTCGTTGTACGTACTAACGCGCACGGTCACAAGTTTACACAAGTTTGTTTATGATTTTGCGCGTTTTTCAAGTTGTTATTTGACAACTAAAACGCGTTTCAAACTAAAAATTGGTTGTTTACGTGTATAAAGATTTTTCACATCCTTTCCAAAAGTTCAAAGATTTATATAATTATAAAATGGACAAAGGAAATATTTTTAAAGAGCTGGAGAAAGTATTGGAAAAGTTAATCCAGATATAATAAATGGAACGACTGATGTGTGCGCGTCGTCCAGCTTCAAGTTTGCACACGAACTCGCGCGCGTTCGCGCATGTTGTTTTAATACGGAACTTGTCAACTGAGTGGAATCATGCAAGTTCTCTGGTGAATGTAACAATTTCGTGCGCGTTTATATCATTTTTTTACAAGTTTTCACGTAGTTAAATCCCCCTAGAAGCGACAACGAGTGGCAAAGAAGAGATGAGAAATGCAATTCTTCTTAACTTTCTAAAATCAAATCACTGAATCTGGTCAACCACACCAAAAATTGAGCATTTCATTAAAGTTAACGAATAAATGACTAAATCAACGTAACAAGTAAAAATAACGAAATTTTGTAATCAACTGCTGCAGCAATAGCAAACTGTTACGACGCATTATTCGTCCATCATACTACTTTTTGCTGAAGCAATCCGACTTACTTCCGATTTTTTTTTTGTTCTTATTTTTACTTGCTTCGGTTCATTCTTATTACAATACTTGGTTCTTGTTTGTGTCACACAACGGATACAAACTTCATGTATTCATCCAGTTTGGCATCGTCGATTCGCTTGTGCGGGCAAACGGTCAACGAAGGAAAGCTGGTGTTCCAAAAGAATTTATTCCGATCCATTGATATCATTATCGGTGAGGTTTGAAATCGGCTCCATGTTCGTTGAGTCAACGATGCGGTACCAAATATCGCAATGCAGATGCATGTTATCCATAATAATCTAAAGATTCAGTGTGTGTGTGTCCAGCATCGTCCCGGTCGATGGGTGTCCATCCATTTTCCAATTCGCAGAGATAGCATGCATTTTTACCCACCCGTGCCAATATGAACATTGTTGAGAGTTATATGGCAGAGAAAGCGAGATCGAGAGAGAGAGAGAGAGAGAGAGAGAGAGAGAGAGAGAGAGAGAGAGAAGAAACGAAACAAAAAAATGGATAAAAGACAATCAACAGACGACTACGAAACACAGAAAAAAGCGTTCAACTTTGTGCAGAGCTACTACTAAATCGAATAGACTGTACTCATACCCAGGGGCTTATGTGTCACGCGATTCAATGCAAATCTCTGAACAAAGTAGAAGAAATATAGGCGACCGCATGAGTCGTGTAAATCTATGCTCGCGAATCTTTATAGTTCTTTCACAGGGCGTTTAAATGAATTCGCGAATCTATATGAATAAAACTCAATGTTCGTTTGCCCACGTAAAATTGTAAACCCAAAATATCCCCTTTTTTCAATTTCAAACGTCTTCATCACTTATTCTGTTATTTCGCCTTTCTTTTTAAAAATGTATTAGACCATGCCATTTTTCAAATAACACAACTGATTTGAAAGAAAATAAATCTTATATATATTTCTATACGATAAATAAAACATAGTATACCTTTAAAATATAATAATGAAAATCAATTCGATCTTTGTATTTTCAATCAATATAAAAAGCATTTCGAGGTAAGACACAGTTCGCATTTGAAAAAAGGTACAATGAATAAAAAATAATTTCAATATTGGCTATTATATTATTATTTGACGTTTTTTTAGATGCCAAGATACACGTTTTCTTCAGATTTCGCAGAAGATTTAATTATAGCATGCAAAAAAAAAAAACAACTAAATTAATATGGATCTCTAAATGTTGCAGATCTATGGGTGAGATTGAGAGTAGTGTATGTTTCATTGACTTTGTTACGAAAGAGAAGAGCAAGTTTCTGTCGACTTAAAAATGGTTAAAAGCGAGTATGTTCGTTTTTAGCGGGTCCTCGCGGTTTTTCACGGTTTCCGCGGAACTGATAAGAGATAACAACTTGGTGTTTTCGGCAAAGTTGTAGCACTCGTGGTCTCCTATAACATTGCTGAAGTCAGTTATCTCTTATCTCTTATCAGTTCCGCGAAAAGCACGAAAAATGATAAGAAAAAAAAAGTTCCATATAAAATTTGCTTTTTTATGTGCGCGATTTGCGCGCAACTGATAAGAGATAAGAGATAATTGTCTTCAGCTTAGTTATAGAAGATTTCAAGTACTACAACTTTGCCGAAGACACCATGTTGTTATCTTTTATCAGTTGCGCGAAAACCATGAAGACCGCGGAGGCTAGACGGTACTACAACATACTCTACTTTAACGCCAACAGAATCATCAGAAAACATACTCGCCTTTTGAAAAATATAAATCGAAGAAAAAACATACTCCACTCTCAATCTCACCCATAGAGATATCCTATGATAAACAATATTTTAATAACTTCATTATTCTGTTCAATTTTTTTTGTAATGATTTCGAATTCATTCACTTAAATCACCAATAACTCAAATAATCCATCATTTAAAACTATTGAAAACGTTAACAAATGTTGAATTTGAAGCAACAACAAAAGAAATGATATTGCCAAATAATTTTTGTCAAATGCAACCACCCGTGTGAAAAAATAGTAATTGAGCAGTCAGTTAACTAATTTGGGACAAAAATGACTTACTTTGATTGACATTTCAGTACAAAGTATAGTGTAAGTCTATTATAGTTAACTGAAATCATTTGAAGTTACAAGTCAATCTAAGTTGCTTCATTTGGGACCAAGTGGTTTTCTTAGAACAAAAATATAAATTCAATCAACTAAAGTCAACTGAAGTTATAGTCAGTCAGTCATTTCTTTTTCACACGGGCATCTATTAAAAAGTTAATAGAAAGTGTATTTCCAAAAATAGAAAAACTACATAAATTATGAATGGCTCAGTGAACGAATAAATTTGTGTCCAACAAATGGAAACGTTTCCTAACAAAATAAAACAGATACAACTGCAGATACCGGGAACTTCGCTAAGATATAGATCAATTTACACAGCTTCATCAATTTACACATGAAATGTAAAATATCCTACGGAATTTTTTAATTCTTTGGAATCACCAGGACTACCACCACATGTTCTGAATTTGAAGATAGATTCTTCAGTAATTTCGTTACGAAATTTAGATGCACCGAAATTATGCAACGGCACAAAATTAATAATCAAAAACATGAGACCAAACTTATTAGAAACAACAATAATTAGTGGCAACTACAAAGGAGAAGATATTCTAATACCAAGAATTCCAATGATTACGACTGATCTATCATTTCAATTTAAACGACTACAATTTCCAGTACGTTTGGCATATACGATGACAATAAATAAAGCCCAAGGTCAAACATTAAATGTTGTGGGACTGGACCTAGAAACACAATGTTTTTCACATGGATCATGAACCAGTTATATGTAGCATGTTCACGAGTAGGATCTCCAGAAATTTTTTATATTTATTCACCAAATTCAAAAGTAATAAACATTGTATATATCCTATTGTACTTCGATAATATGATAATAAAACAAATAATTAAACCGAAATATTGATAAAACATATGATGTAGAAAAAATTATTAAAAATCTAGTTAAAAATAAAATTGAGTGCATACCACAGTGGTATTACCACTACATATTTTGACATGTCAATTTTCCGCAGATGACTCGTGTTGAGTCGTAGAATTGCCACAATTTCTATACTATCATTCGCAGCGACTCATGTTCAGATTTCTGCAAGCTTGTGCGTGTCTATATGGGAATTATGTGAGTTTTCTCTTCAAGACAAAGATCGCGATTACAAATAAACCCCTCGAATCGTACATACACACACTTTTCAATACACACACAAGCATTTTTGTTTCTTTTTTCCTCGTTTTCTTCATTTTCATTTTATTGTTTCATTTCGTTTATAGTGTGATCAGCAAACTGTTTCAAAATTTTCTATGATGTTTTCCACTTGTTTCAGTGCTCGTTCAGGACTGATTCGACTGCTGTTATATGAGCAGAAGCAAATGTGCTCTGCCTTGTTCACTTTGAAATATGAAAACGAGAAAGCAGGGCACAATTTCAATATTATTTTAAGTGGCCGCATTCGGCGTTTCCAAATGCATTTCTTAGTTTTTGTGTGAATGCCTTCTGGCAGATGAGAGACAGAGAAAAGAACAACGGAGAGAAAGAGTAGAAAGCTGCTCAACTAAAACACCAAAAATTGCTTTGCATCCGAAATGCTGTGTGTTTTTAGCGTGTAAAAAGCAAATGAAATGATATGATAATGTTCATGATTCGAAAAATTGGAAGAGAAAAAAAAAAATTACAAACCAGCGGATGCACTTAGCTTAATGTGAAGCATCCAATGTTCATGCTGATGCACCACAGTGTGTTTGTGTGTGTGCGTTGCATCAACACGCGCGAACAATAGAGACAAAAGAAAGAAAATTGGCTTGAGCGCCCGAAAATTGTAACCATCAAACGAATAGAGAACACACCATCACCGCCACTAGAGAGGAAATGAAAATGGCACCCATTTCATCTGACACACCATTTACAACCAACAAAGTGAATGGATACCATTTATTTTCATCATTGGGTCAGTACTCGATCTTGGCCGCGGCGGCGACATACAGTGCTGGAATCTGGAATGACACTCGGTCAAGCTTTCACCCTAATTGCACTTAATAAATGAATAAGCAAATTTCATTTGAGGAGAGCGAGTGAGTGAGCGGCCGAGCAAGAGAGAGAACGAGTGAGATTTTCTTTTTGCTGCATATATATCAATTAAAGTGGTGCCTGTCTCAACGGAGTTCACATTAGAAATGGCCATCGACCGAAATTGCGCTTCAACACACACACATACTATGAATAAACAGGTGGAAATGTAAATTGGATAGGACAATGCAGAGAGAGCGAAGCCAAGCCAAGCCATTTTACACAACAACTCATCGCACTCTCTTTTTCTCTTTCGTTCTCAAATTTTCTATTTTGAAGAAGAAAAAAATCGCTTGGATTCAGTTGACATGTGCGCACAGATTTTCAACATTCGTAAATAATAAAAGTGGAATGCATGGAAAAAGGAACGATAAAATATAATGGGAGGAAATCTAAGCGACAGATGCCATAACCGTTTTGAATAGTTTATGCATTGCTTCATTTGCGTTTTTAATTCATCCGGAAACTGGTGCCCGTCGAGACACATACGGGGGGGAGCAGTAGCAGCAGTGTCATATGTGTGTCGTATGTCAGTGTGCAATGTGTATGGTTTGGTATGGCACAGGTGCTTTGTCGCATCGTTCAATATACACACGTATCTAACGTACACATAAATCAACTAGTGTTTCAATTCATTCGGTCGGAATAAAATCCTCTGGAATCGATTTGATAGCCATCGTTGTTTCACCGTTGTCATCGCTGTAAGTAAAAGTGTGCCTGATTTTCATTCAAACTCTTGTCGATATAATTCAAAGTGAATTTTAAAACTCGACCGAACGTCACACGCAATAAAAAATAAAACACCATTCCAATCTCGTTCAATATTCATAATACACAATTTATCGATATTATTGCTTGAAGAGCTTTCGATATCTTCATTTAATTTTCTGTATTCGTTTCTTTTTTGCTATTGTATTCGCCGGAAAAGACACATTATTTCTCTTGATTCTCATTTAGTCATGCGTTTTCTCTTTTTGAAACGGAAAATTTTACTGAATATTTAATACATTCCAGTCGACAACACACACACACATATAAATGCAAAACCGAGACAGAGAGATGTATTGAATGCTGAGATTTGTCTTGAATATTTCATCGCAGAAGGTCTCTGTGTGGAAAACAAACATTCGTTTTTGGATGGCTCAGCATCTCAGCATTTCGTATGCAGCGGATATATCC